ACACGTAAATGTCGGGGTCAGCAGCCACGCGCGGACCTGCTGCTGCCGGCGCACTCTCGCTCCTCCCCCTCCTCCTCCTCCTCGCCTCCTCCTCCTCCGCCGCCTCCGCTCCCGCCACCCTCTGCGACGCCAACTCCACCTTTGCATGCTCCCTCCTCGAGTACCTCCAGCCGCCCACGGCCGCGGAGCTCGAGGCCAAGTTCAGGCGGGACCGCGCCAGCCTCAAGCGGTCCGTGCAGTCGAGGGTGTTTGGCGTGCGTGTGGGCTGGGACCGGGCCCATCACTTTGTGAAGGACTGGGCGTCGATGGGGATCGGAGGCGTCGCCGTCTTTCGCGGCGGCGCGCTCCCCAAGCCGGGCTTGCTGCTGCAGGGCGCCAGCCTGTCCTCGGGCGCGGCCACGGCGCTCGTGCGGGAGGGCGAGGCGGCACGCGCCGCGCTGAGCACGGCGTTGGCGCTCGCAGTGGTGCACGTTCCTGGTGCATCGGTCGCGCTGCCACTGGCGGCGCTCGGCCACCAGATCTCCAACACGCTGGCCGACGTGCTCGACAAGCCGCTGCTGCAGGCGCTGCCGGGCGGCAACGCGAGCAGGCTGCTGGTCCGCGTCGGGCTCGGCGTGGGCGGCGCGGCGGCGCTCGCCCTGGCCGCGCCCGCCGCGGGGCTCCTGCCCTTTGGCGTCCCCGCTCCCCTCGCCGCCACGTCTGTGGTCGGCGCATTCGTGCTGGTCGAGGCCCTGAAGTCGCACCTCGCCGCCGAGTGGTGGCACATGCTCGACGCGGCAGCGAGCACCGTCCTCTTCCGGCTGCTGCCGGCGGCCAAGGCCGCCGTCCGGGCGGTGGTGCGCCTGCTCTGGCGCCCCGTCAGGGCGGTGCTGCGCGCGGCGGCGGCGGCGGGTTCCCTCCTGCTCAGAGCGGTGGTAGCGCCCGTGGTCCGGGCGGTCGCGGCGCCCGCGATGCGCTTCGGCCGGCGCGGGCTAGCGCTGCTGCTGCGCGCGCTGTCGCTGCTGCTGAGCGGCCTTCGCGCCGTGATGCGCGCGCTCAGGGCGCCGCTGCAGTTTCTCCTTCCGCGCGCGGCAGCCGCCGCCGGCCGGGCAGCGCGGGCCGCCGCCAAGACCCTCTGGCGCCACGGGCGCACCCTCCGCCGCGCTCTGGGGCGGATCAAGAGCGTTCGCCACGTCGTGGCGGGGGCGGGCAGGGCGCTGAAGGAGCACTGGCCCACCGTGGTGCCGTGGATGGTTGCGTCGGCGGGCGTGGCGCTCCAGCTGGGCCACATCTCGGCGGGTCAGGTGCTGCCCTACCTCTCCACCGCGCTAAACCCGAGCAAGCTGCTCGCCCTGGCGGCAAAGGCGCTGGCGCAGGCGGCGCGCGCCGCGATCGGGGCGGCGATCGGCAAGTAGTAGCACACGTCGACGCTGAATGCCGAATCGCGCGCTCCGTCCCAGACTGGGGGACGACGCGTGTATATGTGCACCACACAAGTACGGCGCTGCGCCAGCGTTGCCGTTGGTAAGACATGAGAAGACATGTGCGTACGAGTGTACAGTTGACGGCGTACAGACAACCCAGGGAGAGTTGTGTTTTCGTTTCGGCTCGCGGGTTTCAAATTCTTTTTCGTGTGTTAGTGCCGAAATAAGGAAGTCGCAAGTCCAAGTGCGCGCCACGCGCCAGTCCCGCGTGGCCACCAGTCTCCTCTGGCGGGGGGGCGCGGGCCGGGGGCCCTAGAGGGTATCCATGCGGGGGGGCGATGGGGTCCCATGGCCCGCCGCAGGCGCCGATTTTTTCGGGATTTTTTTGCGCGATTTTTCACTTGTTTTCATGGGAATTCGGCGTACTTGCGGCCATGCTATCACGCCTTGCGACAGCCTGTCGGCGCTGCTGACCGTGCCATGCTGCTCAACTGACCGCCTGCATAGCTCGCGGCCTTAGTCTTCGGCATTCAGTGACGACCTGATCGTACGGCCAGTAGGAAGGTGTCCTTCCAGCTGCGTGCACGCTTCTGACGCAATGCGCGTCACAAACTGCCTCGGATTGGCTGCTGGCACTCTCGAGGCTATGCCTACACAGCCTCGCGCGCATGGGCAGTTAAGAGGGACCACGCACCTTCTCAGGACAGCGCCGGTGCCTCTCTCTTGGACCGGCAAACGTGGTGGTCTCGTGTCACCAATGTGGGACCAGTGCGGCATCGCGCCATCGACAGCTCTGAACTGCGCCTCACCACTGACCGGGAAGGCCGCCAAGTGGACCAGCACCGGTCGCACATTGTGGCAGCAGTCAGCAGTGCATGTCTGATAGCTAGAGCAGCAGCGTCAGGGTCTCGCAGGGTCGGATCGTGTCAAGCCTCTCGCCCGGCCGGCCGCGTGCAGACGTCGGCCTGTCTGCTGTCTGGAGTGATCTGTCGGCGGTCAGTACGACCGATCAGGTCGGAGTTTCTCATGCTTGGAGGGTCTATCTGTATGTACTCCTCGAGATCTCTCCAAATCTGCCCTCTAATCAACCGTAATCATTCGGGAAGTTGGTGCTAACGGAGACTAACGGAGCCGGAGCCCCGTTTCCGCACTGCTGCGCGGCGCACGGTGCCTCCGGGGGCCCCCGCGCCCCCCCCAGCCAGTCTCCGGTGTGAGCAGGTAGGTAGGTAGAAAGGTGAAGAACAGTCAGGCTCGGACTGGACACCAGCGCGGTATGGGTGGACGCGGGACAGATGATGACGACACGCACGAGCGACCGCGACACACAGTCATCTTATTACTAACATCTTAAAATCCCTGTGTGGTGGCGGCGTGCCGTCCTCCCATCCCTCCCTTGGGTTGTCTGTTTTCTTTCTTTTCTTTACTAAATAAAACGAACACACCAAACAAGGGGTGGGAGAAGGACAGGGTCCCCACCACCCACCTGCGCGAGCAGGATCTTGGAAGGACGATCAGGGACACGCCAGTGCGTGCCAGCCCGCGGAAATTCTTTTCCAAACAAAAAATCTTTTTGAGGCGGGCTCTAAAATTCTTTTTCGCGGTAAGAAAAATTCTTTTTCGCCTGGTTGAAGCAGGCATCACTCCCTCTCCGCCTCACATGGCCGACTGTTCCGCAGCGCACGACACGGAACGGCCGTGCACGACCGGCGAAGAGGGCTCGCGCGAGGAGGCGCGCCTCCGCTGCTGCTACCTGCTCCGCTCCCTCAGCCCCTCCGCCCGCGGCCGCACATACATCGGCTTCACCGTCGACCCACAGCGGCGGCTGCGCCAGCACAACGGCGAGGTCAAGGGCGGTGCGCGCAAGACCTCACGGCAGAGGCCGTGGGAGATGCTAGGGTTTGTGCACGGCTTCAGCGACAACGTGTCGGCGCTGCAGTTCGAGTGGGCGTGGCAGCACCCCACCGTCTCGCTCGCCGTGCGGGAGCACGTGGCGGATCTCGGGCTGCGACGCCGCTCGTACTCCGCCGCCAAGCTGCTGCAGGTGCTCGCCGTGATGGTCCGCCTCGAGGAGTGGTCCTCTCACCCGCTCGGCATCCACCTGCTGCGCGGCGAGTGGGCGCCTCGCCCTGGAGCGCCGCTGGGAGGAGGGCCGCCGCCGCCGCCATCCTCCGACTACGACGCGCTCGAGCGGCGGCTGCAGCGCGAAGGGCGCGCAGCCGCGGGCCTCACCAGAGGCTGCCCGTGGACGGCGGGGCTCGAGCCGCCGCGGCGCGGCGCCCGGCGGCGGCGAGCCGAAGGCGCTGCTCGGGCTGGAGGCGCCGCGCGGCCGGCGGCTGCTCCGTCGGAGCCGTCGGAGGGACGGGGCGCGAATACTGCCCCCGCGGAGGCGGACGGCGCGGGAGGAGCGAGGAGGAGGAGGCAGGGGACGAGGGCGGTCGCCCGTGACGACGACGACGACGACGACGACGAGGAGTGGGAGGTCGGGGAGGGGAGGTCCGAGGAGGGGCTTGAGGAGTGGGTTGCCGCCTCGAGGTGGCTGCTGGCAGCGGGCGGCGGGCGGGACGACGACGCGATCTGGCTCTCCTCGAGCGCCTCCGCGGCGGGGAGCGGGCTCGAGGGCGGCTTTGAGACGGGCGAGTCGTCCGGCGGCGAGGAGGCGGCGGGCAGAGGGGAGGAGGCGGGCGGCGGAGCCGGGGCGGAGGCCTCGCTCGCTCCTCCGCCCCCTCCCCCTCCTCTCCCTACCGCTCTCTCTGCCGCGTGCGCCACCAGCGACTCCGAGGCTACCATCGCGGACTCGGACTCGGAAGCTGACTCGGAGGCGACGATTGCAGACGCCCCCTCGGAGGACGAGCCGGAGGCGGGCGCCGATGAGGGCTCCGCTCACGGCCTGGTCTTGCCTCCCCTGCGGCGGCTCTCCATCGACGGGGCGTCGCCACCGTCTCACGTGGCTCGATCGAAACGGCTCTCCGCGCCCTACCCTATGGCGGTGAGCAGCGACGAGGACGAGAACGCGGGGCGCAACGGCCGACCAAGCACGCCGCCGCTCGGGGAGAGGGTCCGGCGGCGTGCCTCCTCCAACGGGCGCCGCGTGCGCCGGGCCGGAGAAGTCTCTTGCCTTGATAGCGACGCGCCGTCGTGAGCGGGACAGCGGGACGATCGAATTCCCGGATCCGCGCGCCGGTTGCGGCTTGCGCCATGATGCGCGTCCCTTTTGTGTGTGCGGCGTGCGCGGGGAATACAGTCGCAGTATATGTGTCCCAGCGCCGCGTGAGACGACCCAGACGTGTTGCGCGTGTTGCGTGTAGTAAGCTACCGAGATATACTGCACATCGTGTGGCATCTCCCACAGGAGCGCTCAACGGACACAAGATCAAGAAACGGTGGTTATTGCGGCGCACAGCGAGAATGGCATACCGCTCTCGTCCCGAAGAATATCCCCCCCGTTCGCGACGATCGGGGTTGGTCCGCTGTGCGGGCTCCGCTGACGTTGCGGATATGCGGTGCCGCCTACGACGACCGCGCATCCAACGCGCAGACCTCTCAGCGCAGCACAAGCTCAAGGCGACTCACAAACGGTACGCCAGCAGAGCGCTCAGCTCAGGCTGCGGCGCCCGGCCTGAGGCTATCGAACTCGACTTTGAGCGCGGCCTCGCGCTGCATCGCCTCGGTGTAGAGGGTCGTCACCGCCGACAGCTTGGCCTGCATCTTGACCGCGGCGCCGTGCTGCGCCTCGCGCTCCCCCTCCGCCTGCTGCGCACGCTCGAGCGCCGCGTCCAGCTCCGCCTGCGGTAAGGATCACGGACGTGTCGCGGACGTGTCATGGACGTGTCGTGGCTCGAGCGCCGCGTCCGCTCCGCCTGCAGCCGCTTCTGCTCCGAAGAGCGCGCGGGCGTGTCGGGCGCCTGCCGCACGGGCGACGGCGCGCCCATGGCGGCCGCCTTGAGCTCCTCTATCTCCGCGGCCTGCTCGTCCAGCGCCGCCTCCTGGCTGTCTATCTTCTCCTGCAGCTTGGCGATCAGGTCGTCCTTCTCGCGCAGCAGCGCCAGCGTCTCGAGCGCCTCATTCTGCTCGCCGCCCTGCCGGTAGTACGCGCCCGCCTCGGTGGCGAGCCTCGTCATCTCCGCCTCTCGGCTCTCCGTGCGCGGAGTCTCCGAGCTCGACGCCGTCTCGGCCTAGAAGGTTCCTAGAAGGTTCCTAGAAGGTTCCTAGAGTCTCCGAGCTCGACGCCGTCTCGGCCTCGACTGCCACAAGCGGCGGCGGAGGAGGCGGCGGCGGCGCAGAGGTCGACACCGTGACCGAAGCCTCCGCGACGGCGGGCAGCGGCGGCGCGGCCGCGTCGGCCGCGCCGCTGCGCCCCGAGGACGCGGCCTTCTTCTTCGCGATGTCGGCGAGGATGGCGGCCATCTCGGGCGGAACATTCTCCATCTCGAACGTGCCGTCCGCCGACACCTTGACGCCTCCGAGCTGCTGCATGTCGGTGGGCGGCGAGATCTCCATCGCGTACCTACGGGGGGGCGGCCAGAAGGTGCGGGGGAGGCTCCTCCGGCATGTCTGCGCGCGGCGAGGTCTCCATCGCGCGCCAGTACTGCTGCTCCTTCGACATGCCGGGCGGCTTCCGCTTTGCGAGCTGCGACGAAGAGGCGCCCTTGCGGCGCGCAAACATCTGCATCACGGCGCCCATCGCGCCGCCGCCCTCGCCGTCGGCGTCCACCCTGATCGCCGCCTTGGTCTTGTACTTTGGAAGCAGCTCCTCGTACTGCGCGATGGCGGCCGCCGCCCAAGGGTGCTGCCGCACGCCCGCGATGTCGATCCGCTTGCTGACGTCGACGGTGAGCAGCTGAGAGATGAGGTCCTTGGCGTCGGCGGAGACGTGCCGCCACCGCTCGTCCGGCTGGAAGGCGAACCGCCCCTTGACGACCTGCCGCAGCAGCGCGTCCACCTGCTTTGCGCGGAACGGCATCGTCTTGGAGAGCATCACCTGGCGGAAGAGGCGGCCTCGCGTCAGAGGGAGGAGGGAGGGCACTGGAGGGTGGTGCGGACCGCCGCCCGGAGCTGCGGGGCGGCCCGCACATAGAGTAGCACGCCCATCGACCACAGGTCGCACCCCTTGCCATATGGCTCGTCCGTCGGGTTGACCTCCCCGAAGCCCGTCACAACCTCGGGCGCGACGTACTGCGGCGTCCCGACCAGGCCGGTGAGCATCTGGTCGGGCGTGCAGGTGCAGGCGCCGCCGAAGTCGATGCACTTGATCTGCGGCGACCCCTTGGCGCTGAAGACCAGGTTCTCCGCCTGTCGTCCCGCGGGGAGGAGAGCTGAGCCTGCCACGGGGACGGCCAGCCGGGCGGCGGGGCCAGGGAGGGTACCGCACCTTGAGGTCGCGGTGCACCACGTTCCTCTCGTGCATGTACTCGACTGCGAGCGCAACCTGCGGATGCGACGGGCGGCGGCCACTCCCTCTCTGGCCGAGCAGCGGCTGGCAGCGGCAGGAGGTGGCGGTGTCGGTGTCGGTGGTGGCGGTGGTGGCGGCGGAGGCGGCGGTGGTGGCGGTGGTTGCGGCGGAGGCGGCGGTGGTGGTGGTGGCGGCGGCGGTGGTGGTGGCGGCCCGCGGCGCCTGCGCAAAGTAGACCTGCGCATCGACCTCCTTGAAGGGGCCCTTTGCGAGCAAGGCGTCGAAGAGCTCTCCGCCGCTGAGGCACTCCTGACCCCACAGGGCGGCGGGGAGGGCTCAGGGGAGCCGCTCGTCGAGAGAGAGTGCTCGCCTCGACTGGATTCCGAGGGCGGAGGGGCCGGCGAGCGGGGCTGGAGCGGAGAGGTGCGGCGGGCCTGCACGATGTAGACCGAGTTTGCGTCGTGCACCACCTCTCGTATGCCGACGATGTGAGGGTGGTCGAGCTGCCGCAGCAACAGGATCTCCATCCGGAGCGCATCAAAGAGCTCGTCGTCCTCGAGCTCCTTGATCTCGATCACCTTGATGGCGACCTGCCGGCGAGACGGCGCGCTGACTCACGCGAGCCGCTGCCGCGGGCGGCGTGCGAAGCGGACGCGCCTTCATGTGGTTCCTCTTGTGCGTCGCCTTGTAGACCGTCGCCTGCGCGCCGGCGCCAAGCTCCTCCTGGATCTTGTACCGCTGCGATATATCCTTGAGTGTGCTGTCCACAATGGAGGCCACGCGCTGCTCGAGATCCCACTGAAGGCGGGACGGGGAGGGCGGGCCGTCGGCAGGCGCAGCCAAGCAGCGTTGACGGTGGGTGGGTGAATGTCCATCGGCGGTCGCAAAGCTGGCTGCATGAGGTGCAGGAGTAGACTGGGGATAGGCGCGAGTAGGCAAACGGCCCTCTAGTACGCTTGCAGCGCGCCTGGCTCCAGTCGGCGACCGCCATCGGACGCGAGCGCTCGGAAAGTGGAAGGGATGGCGGCCGTCTCTCGCCGACGCGACGCAGTTTTTTTTTGTGGCCCATGGCCTTTTTGTATCGGTCGCTGAGTGGACACTACCTCTAGACCATCATCTACTCTGCTGACTTCGGCCGTCGGCCGCTCGGTGGTCGAGTGGCTTCCGGATCGAATCGGCAGCTTTGACCCTTATAATTTTTTCCACACCTGAGCGGGCCCAATTTTGCTCAGCGCTTGGTGTGCGTCCGTTTTTCGTCACGGGTCTGATCGCAGTGCTCAAACTTTACCGGTATGAGACCGGTATTCGGTAACTAACTGCACTCCAAGTGCTCCAAGCCACCTTGGTCCAAGGAGCAAGGTGATATTTTGATTAGTTTTGGAGTGGTATGGTATAGTGGTATGCGAAAGTGGTATGCGGGGTTTTGATTAGTTAGTGTAGCGGCTGTCGGTGTGGTCCCGGGGGCAAAACCATGCAAAAGTGCGGGTATTACCCGGGTCCCGGGTATTTTGCCGATTTTGCCGATTTTGCCACCAAGAAGTAACATAAATAAAAATCTCTCTCTCTCCTCCAAGAAGGCACTCTCCGACGCGCTTTGATTTAATAATTTGATTTCCGTGAGGCAACTGGTATCCCGTACCACTTTTTGATTAGTGCAGGCATAGGGTTTGATTAGCCAACGCCAGGCTTCAACCCAATGGACCTAGTGTGGCGTCGAGGCCCGCACTGTCTGGACATGCGGGCCGCGGCTGACAGAACGGCGGGCTAGGCATTGAGAGCCCAGGAGTTTTAATTGGTAAACCCTAATTCGCCCGCCGCTTTATAGGATCCGCAGATGATCTCTGATGGGGGGGCGTACCAGCTGGCATCCATCATGGAGCACTTTGGATTTCGCTCTTCTCCACCATCTGTCTAGGGTTGATTCCGCATTATGGACGGGACCCCTCGATCGCCCCCCTCGATCGCCTCGCCCTCCCTCACTCGTGTGTTCATCGGAAGGGGGGGGGGGGGGTCATAACAAACACCGTACCAGGATCGAGGTGCACGCCGGCCCGCCGAGGGCCGAGGCGGTGCCGTCCCCCCTCTCCATCATCTCACTGGGAGACGTCGGAGGCGGTGGCGTGTGACCGCCGCGTCGTGCTAAAAAAGGATCTTGTTTTACGATCACCACGATCAGGATGGGCCGAACAGGTTCCTCAGCTCCTCAGTTCCTCACTCGGTTGAGCTTCAGAGACCTCTGGCCTCTCTCCCCCCCTCACCTTCGGCTCATGTGGACTCGAACCACCGCCGGGATGGAAGCCGTTCCATCTGAGACTGAGACAATTCCACCTCGGAGAGATGCTGTCGGATGCTCACTTATTAGCCCGACCGGCCGACGCCGTGTGTGTTTTGCGGGGCGAGCGCGAGCGGGGGGCGTCGGCGAGCCGGAGCGCCGGAAGAAGGGGGTTCGGATGGCTGCGGGCACTTGAGCCCTGGCCCTGCAGGGGAGCGCAGTAAAGAGACAAGAGAGCATTCGAGTACTGTAGTATACTGACGAAACAATAAAAACTGACACCCTGGGGAGGACAGGCGCCTCTTACGTCGCCTCTCCTTGCTTCCACTGCCAGTGCGCACTGCACCACAATTTGCATCCGGCTCACGTACGTCATACCTCCCAGCATGTGCCTCCCCCCCAGCCTCGCGCCGTACATATGCACATGCTCACTCCACGGAGAACGGGACGCGCACCTGCACATTCCTCCTCAGCGGCATGGCGTTGGGTGGGAGCCCGTCCATTCTGATGGTCATTGAGCCGCGCGTCGGCGAATGGATTGCCACGCTGCAGCCGGTGCGGGACCACCCGTGAGCGATGCCACCCTGCTGCTCGGCAGAGCCGTTTGTGAGGATGGCGTTCGTCACAAAGCCGCACGCCAGCACGAGATGTCCTCGCCTCGGGTCGTTCATGACACTTTGGCACGCCTCGCAGTTGCGTGGGGCATCGCCTTGCATCCACGCGACTTTCGTGGTGTTTTCCGGGTCCGCGCCCTTTGTGCGGAGCAGGACAAACCCCAGTGGGAGGACGCTGAGCGGAAACTCGACGGCCTTTGCAGCAATGCTCTGGACAGAGTAGTGGAGCAGGCTGCATTTGATGAACCATGAGCACGCGAGCAGCATTTCCGTCCTCACGCCCTCCGGCAGGTAGTCGTCACCTGCTCTCAGCGCGGCATCGAGCTCGTGCCAGCCTGCCGATTGGCTTCGCGACGCGACCTTGATGCGCTCGAGCAGGCTGCTCACCGGAGCGCCCATCGACAGCAGCGCTGGGACGTCGAAGCGATCAGCGAGGAATGCGGGTGTGCAGACGCGTCGAACGGAGAGCCGCCAAGAGTCGCATGCCGCCTGAGCGGACTTGAGTGCCGGCAGGTCCAGGTGCGACACGATGGCGTCGAGAAGCTCGTCTGGAAAGTCGGTGTTGAGAACCTCCTTCTGAGAGTCAGCGGCGGGCTCTCGGCCAGCCGCGGTTGCGAGAAGCTTCAGCCCTAGTCGCCGTTTGACGAATCGCGCGGTCGCTACTCGTCCACCGAGCAGCCACCAGACCGGCACCAGGAGCAGGAGTGCCTGCAGCAGATAGCCAGCATTCATTGCAGGGCGCTTGGACACTCCGCGAGAGCCAAGCCCGCCTTGCCGCCGCCGCCGCCGCCCTCACCGCCTCCCACGCCGCCGCCTCCGCGCACATCCCATGTTCCTCGCGCTCGGCGCCTGCTCGCAGCCCGGCCTGAAGGCCTGCGGCGCGGGCTTCGACCACTTTCCATTTTGCAACCACTCCCTGCCGCTCGATCAACGCGTCTGGGACTTGGTCAGCCGGATCGACGACAGCGTCAAGCCCAACCTCCTCACCGCGCGCGGCCACCGCATGCACACCGGCGGCCGGCAGGCGCTGCCGAAGCTGGGCGTGCCCTCCTACTACTGGGGCTCAAACTGCCTCCACTCGTCCATGTTTGCCAACTGCACGACCGACGGGCGGTGCAGCCAGTCGTTTCCCTCCAACACGGCATGGGCGGCCACCTTTGATCGGCGGCTCATGCGGCAGATGGCCGCGGTGGTGGGGCGTGAGACCCGGGCGGGCTGGAACTTGGGTTCCTGGCTCGATGACGGCCTCAATGGTGCTGGCCTCGACTGCTGGGGTCCCGTGCTAAACATGAACCGCGACCCGCGGTGGGGCAGGAACGGCGAGGGCGGCGCCGAGGACCCGTACCTGATGGGCCAGCTTGGGACGGCGTGGACGCGCGGGCTGCAGCAGGGCGACCCGGAGATTGCGCGCGAGGCCGCGAGCCAGTACACGCTGGTGGCCGTCACGCTCAAGCACTTCGACGCCAACTCACTCGAGGACAGCGATGGCTTCACGCGGCACACCGTCGACGTGAACGTCAGCCGGCAGCTGCTGACCGACTACTACTGGCCGGCCTTCCGCGCCCCGATCCGCGAGGCGGGCGCCCTTGGCGTGATGTGCAGCTACAACGCCGTCAACGGCCTGCCCGCCTGCGCGTCGCCCGTGATGAAGGCTGCGCGCGAGGCGTGGGGCTTCCAAGGGTACGTCACCTCGGACACCGACTCGGTCGCGGACGTGTGGAGGGCGCACCGCTACAAGCGCACCGCGGAGGAGGCGAGCTGCGTCGCACTCCGCGAGGGAGGCACTGACGTGGACTCGGGGAACACTTACTACCACTCCCTGCTGAGCGGCGTCCGCTCCGGGCGCTGCTCCATCTCGGACGTCGACCGGGCGCTCTTCAACACCTTCCGGGTCCGCTTCAAGCTCGGCCTCTTCGACCCAAAGGCAGGCAACCCGTACTGGCAGCTCGGCGAGGCGGACATCGGCACCGCCGCGTCGCGAGCGCTCAACCGACACGCGGCCGCCGCCTCGCTCGTCCTGCTTCAGAACCCGACCTCTCGGCGCGGCGGCGGGCCCATCCTGCCGCTCGCTCCGGGCAAGCGGATCGCCGTCCTCGGGCCGCACGCCAACGCGACCCGCGCCCTCATCCAGGTCTTGCCCTGCACCTCGGCGACATCTCGGCCGCATCTCGGCTACACCTCAGCAGACAGGTTCCCCGTCCCACGGCTGTATCTCGACCGTGCCTCACCCACGGGTGGACACACCACAGGTGGACACGGGCAAGGTCTGCGCCAGCGGAGGCTTCGAGTGCGTCACCTCGCCGCTCGCGGCCCTCGCGGACCGCAACCCCGACGCGGGTACGGCGTACGCCGAGGGCTGCGACGTGATCCTCATGGGGCGCCAGGGCTTCTCGGCGGCGCTCGCTGCGGCGGAGGCGGCCGAGGTGGTTGTGCTCGGGCTGGGCGGCACCTCGTGCGGCTCGTGGGGCGCGGGGCGCTGGGGGAAGCGCGACAATGCGCCCCGCCACTTGCACTGCCGCCCCGCCAACGCGACCAACGGCATGCAGTGGGCCGAAGGCGAGGCGCACGACCGCACCTCCATCGACTTGCCAGGCGAGCAGCATGCACTCGCGGCGGCGGTGCTCGCGCTCAACAAGCCGACGGTCCTCTTCCTGCTCAACGGAGGCATGGTGTCCGTGGCGGAGGAGCTCCGCCACGCGATCAACCCGCCGGCGGTCGTCGAGGCCTTTTACCCGGGAGCAGAGGGCGGCGAGGCCCTCGCGGACGCGCTCTTCGGGCGCACCAACCGCTGGGGGAAGATGCCGTACTCGGTCTACACCGCGGACTGGGCAAAGACAAACTCGATGCTCGACCACGACGTCCAGCACGGGCTGGGCCGCACGTACCGCTACTACAGGGGGAGCGTCCCGCTCGTCACCCCGTTCGGGCACGGCCTCTCCTACACCACCTTTGAGCTCGCGATCGGGGAGCCGCGCGGCGGCTGGACCCTCTCCACCGCCTCGGCCACCGCGCTGCACGTGAGCGTCGTGCTCACGAACGTCGGCCCTCGCGAGGGGGACGAGGTGCGGGCGGGCGCATGGCTAGCGCCGCGGCCTCCCCTCACCGCCTATACCCTCCGCCGCCTCAGGTGGTGCAGGCGTACTTTGCGCCGCTGTCGCTCGCCGCGCCCGGCGTGCCCAACCACCCGATCAAGGCGCTCTGGGGCTTCGAGCGCGTGAGCGACCTCGGCAGCGGCGAGTCGGCCACGGTGACCTTCTCGCTCGGCGCGCGCGACCTCCAGCTCAGCGACCTGAACGGAGACCTCGTGCTCGCGCCCGGCAAGTACAACGTCACCTTCGAGAACGGCGCGGGAGCCGTCGCGGCACGCACCGTGACGCTCACGGGAGAGAGGGTCGTCGCGGAGCCCTTCCCGCAGCCCGCGGCTCCTGCGCCACAGGCCCGTCGGGCGCCCGCGGCCTCGGGCGCGACTAGCGGAACTAGCGCACAGCGGCGGGAATGAGACACGTCGCCCCATCTTTATTTACACTTCGTCACAAATCTGTCGAGTACTCGAGTAAAAAGATGAATAAAAACTCGGGTCTGACGTCTCTCCAGACGCCCGAGAGTTTGAGGTTTTGACTGTTTAGTGTTTTAAATTGCACGTCGAGCGAGACGAGACAGGCGGAGCGACCGAGAGAGACGGACGTCCCCGCAGTGCGCGCACAGACGAGACTGCTCGCGAGCTGATTTTCTAGATAAACGTACCGTGCTCTCAAGGAGAAAAAGCAGAATACCCACGAGAAACACACACATGCCGACAATTCCAAAACACACAGCGGGAGCGCGAGGCCCTGATATCTACATCGCGATGGATCGCGCACAGAATGAGCTGAGTCAAACGGCGCCCGCAGGGTCGTCGGCCCCGTCGGGGCCGGGCTCGACAGCGGGCGGCGCGCCGCCCGTGTTCGCCGCCATGTCTGCCACCAGCCGCGAGACGATCCGCGGGTCTCTCCGCGCCTGCTCGACGAGGTTGCGCACAAAGAGCGGGTCGCGCGGCAGCGCGCCCGTCTCGAACTGGGCGCGCAGCCAGTACGCCTGCTGACCCGGCGCGACGTCGCCTGCGCTGAGCGAAGCGAGCTCCTCGAGGTCCTGTGGAGGGGAAATTCCGAGAAGGTTCAGGGGAGGGCCTCGCGGCGCGCGCCCTGACGACGAGATCTCGTAGCGCTCCCGCGTCCTCATCTGCGGCTCGGCGGCTCCTCCCGCCGCCGCGAGCAGCCTCGAGGAGAGGTCCTAGGCAAGCACACGCCCGCCCTTCAACATGACATCCTCGCAGACCAGAGCCGCCTCGAGGAGCGTCCCTCAGCAGGGTGACAGTCGGGTCGCCGCGCAGGATCTGGAGCTGCAGCGTGTTGATGTCGGAGAAGGCGACCTGTTCACAAGCGGCCGCTGGGAAGAGAGCCGGCCCGCAGCTCCATACTCATCGCAGCGCATGCTCATGGCGGAGGAGGCAACCTTGCGCAATGTGCTCAAGTCGCGCATCGCCCGCGACGCAAAGGAGCTGCGAGGTCCGCGCCCCGTCCCGATCTCGTACTCCGCCGCGGCGCGCTCGAGCAGCCCGATGTCCTACTCTCGCCACGAGGAGGTGACTCGCGGCTCCTCGTCGCCGGGCCCGCCAGGAGGCGGCCCGTGTGCGCCTCGTCGACGACACGGCGCAAGCTCTCCACGTCCTCGAGAGCGCGGCGGGTGAGCGTCTCCCGCGAGACCTGCTCCACCTGCTGCAGGCCCTGCTGTAGCCCTTCTCGCACCTACAGACGACGCACACCAGACCACCCGTCCGGGACATGTCCGGGACATGTCCGGGACATGCCCGGGACATGCCCGGGACATGTCCGGGAGACATGCCCCGCCCCCCAAGCCCCTCCCCGCCGGCCGCCCCGCACCTCCGCCGCGTCGGCGAGCCCGCGCCGGTGCGAGATGAGGACCAGCTCCTGCGGGGCGGTGTCGGGAGAACGGGACCTCGTCGCGGACGCCGTGGCATTGGTGTGTCATGGGTGTGTCGCCTCCGCAGGGGTGGGATGGGCGTGTTCCTGGATGCCGCGCTTGACCGCGAGCGGCGGCGCCAGGCGTGGGTCGTCGGGCGGCTCGATGCGCAGCAGCTGCTCGTACGCGAGGATGGCGCCGGAGATGTCGCGCAGCGCCTCGTGCGCCTCGGCGAGCCGCTCCTGCGAGACGGGCGTCGCGGACGGGTCGTGGACGTGTCGTGGACGACGCCTCGCGAGCCGCGGCGAGTCTCTCGCCCACGCCAGCGCGCGAGACTCCTCCGAGAGCCGCGCCGCCGCCGCGTCCGCGCGGCTGTCCGGCAGCACCGCGTCAAGGAGCGTCAGCAGCTGCACCGCCTGTTCACACCCTCGGGCCGTGAAGAGCCGCTGCCCGCGCCGAGGCCCAGTGGCGAGTGGCGCCGCCTGCTGCGCGTCCTCGAGCGCACGCTGGCGCGAACGCACCCACCCCTGCCCGCTGAGCCCGGTGTAGACGCGCGACCGCCGCACCAGCAGCTGCACCAGCCACGCCGCCTGCTCCGCCGTCGGCGCGCCTGCTCGCCCGCGCCGCTCGCGCACGCGCAGCACCGAGGAGGGCAGGCTGCGCCACTGCGGCCCCAGCCCGGCCGCGAGCGCCAGCCGGACGGCGCGCCCGTACGCGTCCAGCGCCTCCGTCAGCCGCCCCTCCTCGTCGTGCTCGCTGCCGCGCTCGCCTGTGCCGTACGCCTCGATCAGCCGCGGGTCGACCTCCGCGCCGGCGCGGCGGAGCACGTCGGCTGCAGAGGCGGCGTCGTTGACGCGCTCGACAAACTCGCCCGTATTGGTGAGCTGCAGCACGACGCCGCGGTCGCACCGCGCGAGGCACGAGCACCCATTGAGCACGACGCCGTCGCGCGGAGCCAGGAAGCGCAGGGCGGCGAGGGTGGAGTCGCCGGCGCCCACGCTGCACATGCCCTCGCCGCCCATGGTGCAGACCCGGATCCTGACGGGCGCCGGCGATGGCGACGCGGATGGTGATGCGAGGAAGAGAGAGAGCATTCCGACGAAAGCACGAAAAGAATTCTCAGTGAACAGGACTTATGGCGCGCACTGGCACTAACGCAAAAAGAATTGGAAAGCCGCAGAGTCCGTGCTCGGAGAGATAGAGAGGGGGGCGGGGGGAGGGAGGGAGGGGGGGGGGGAGAGAGGGGGGGGGGGGCGTGACGATGCAAAAAAGTGAAAAAAACGCGTCTAATCTTGGTTCAAAAAACGCTTGAAATGTGGGGCGCGGACGTCGGGAGGAGCTCTGGCCTCTGCTCGGGTCAGCTCGCAGCTGCTTCGGGAGGGCGACAGGCCGGGTCCCAGTTGTGCTCAACCACGCGGCTTGCGGCGCCGGGCGGGCCATCAAAGACGAAGTGCGCCTCGAAGTAGGAGTCGGCGCGGGCGAGCAGGTGTGGCATCCAGATCTTGTCGTCGGCCCACATCTGCTCGTAGGGCACGGCATCGACGCTGCACGGCGAAGCCGCCGCCGGCTGCTCTGCCGCCAGGTCGGGCGTCGCCTCGAGCACGCGCACGCGCATCGGCGCGTGCGCGGAGGAGGGCGGGAAGGAGAAGAGCATCAGCCCTGCGAGGCGGAGGCGGGGCGAGGCGAGGGCGACGCCCGCGTCGGCGAGCGCCGCCGAGGCCGCCTCCTTTGCAGCCGCGCAGAGCTGCGCCTCGCTCGCGTCGTCTCCTCGCTCGCCGGTGCTGCCGGCGCAGCCAAAGTGGAGCCGCCAGCCGAGCGCGTTCGGCACGCGCAGCAGCACGCGGCGCTGCGCGCGGTCGTGGAGGACGACCATCGTCAGCTCGCGACCGCCGTCGAGGGCGGACGGCGGGACGGCGTCGATGCTCCTCGCGCCAGCCACCGGCGCCAGCAGGCGCAGCCGCTCTCGCGGCCCGTCGCGCGGCTCGTGCGCCGCGGTCGGGGGCGCCGCCTCCTTTCGCCACACCGTGGCCAGGAAGGGCTGGTGCGCGCGCGCGCGGCCGGGAGGCCGGTAGAACTTGTCGAGGAGACTCAGGCCGGCCGCCTCGCAGGTCGCAAGCCACGTCTCCTCCGACAGCCAGCAGACGTACGAGCGCGTCGTGGCGGTGCGACCGTCCGTCCAGCCCTCCTTGTCCTGGCCAAAGCCGTGCGCGTTGGAGACAAACAGCACTCCGTGCGGGCGGAGCGCGTGGCGGAGGGATGCGAGGGCTCCCGGCAGCGCGGCGCGCGGCAAGTGGAAGAGGCAGGCGTTGCAAAAGATGCCGTCGAACCGCTCGGCAGGGAGGTCCAGGGCGCATAGGTCCTGCTCCCACACCTCGCAGCCGGAGGCCTCGCGCGACATCCTGCAAAAGGCTGGCACGCCGTCGAGGCCAACGGCTCGGTGCCCGAGCTGGGTGAAGGCAACGAGGTCGCGGCCCGAGGCAGAGCAGACGTCGAGGATGTCGAGAGGAGCCTGGAGGCCGGCGAGCGGCCGCAGCAGCGCATCGATGTTCTGCGAGACGTCGTGATTGAGGTTGCCGCGTGCGTAGCCCTCGGCCACCGAGGCGTAGTCCTCGAGCGTCGCTCGGCAAGCGTCGCGAACCGCGTCGGCGGTGCTCGCGGGAGCACGCATGTAGCTTGGAGCAAGCGGTGGAGAACAGAGTGCCAAGAAAGAAAGAAAGAAAGAAAACAGCAGCCGAAGCGAGCGATGGGAGGACGGCACGCCGCCACCACACAGGGATTTTAAGGAGAGGAGTGCCAAGCCGCGAGTTCGGGGACATTTTTTTCTTTTTTCACCCCAATTTTTTTTTCGCTTGACACTTCGCGGCCTTTCGACCAAGCCAGGACCGAACATCCCTGCTGGCGCCGGGCACTTCCCCACCGTGTACCTCCTCGTGTCCGGTCGGCAGGGCATGATCACCTTTCTCCCCTGCACAGACTTTGAGGAGATCGCTCGGATCCTCGACGACAAGCGCCTCGGCGGCCAGCGCACCGAGGCCTGGGCGATACTCAAGTGGCTGCGGGCGCCGGAGCAGTACCCAAAGCTAGTCAGAGCGGGGTATTGCTCCATGTGGAAGGGGTTTGAGCCGGCGCTCGTCTGCTACGTCAACGCGATGCTCCGAGAGTGGGCCCGTAGGGGCTTCCGCAACGACCTCCTCGCTCCAGGGGATGCTTCTCTTGGGCTCGACGAACCTGCCTCGCCTCCTCCGATGCCGCCGTGGCTCGGCGAGGAGGCGCTCCACTCGTGCCACCGCAGTGCGCTGATGGCGAAGCTGCCAACGCACTACTCACAGTACGGCTGGCCCGAGACCGGCGAGGACCACGACGGCTCCTACCTCTGGCCCGATCGCCGCGACGACGGGTGGGTGCTGCGGTGGCCGGTGGCGGCGAAGCGGCCCGCCATCCGGCTCTTGCGCGCCGACGTGCCTCCGCCTCCCTCCGCCGCCGCTGAGCCGGCCCTCGCCTGCCGCAAGCGATCCCGATGCGAGGACGGTCCGGGGCGTTCGGCCCTTCAGGCCGAATGGACCAGGCTGACAAAGGAGGAGCTGCCCAAGCTCGCAAAGGGGCGGCGCTGGCCGATCTGCCTCGACCATTGCTTTCAGCGGGTCGCGCTCGACGCGGCGTTCGGCGGGTGCTGGTACGACCACCTCGACCGCAAGCGAGGCGCCGCGATCCGGCAGATTGCAGACGCCGACCTGGCGCGCGCCGTCCAGGCAGCGCGGCGGATGCGCGACGAGGGCGCCGCGGCGGTGGATGAGATGAACGCGGAGAGCCTGCGCTGGAGGGGCAAGGCTGGCCCAAAGCGCAAGCGGTGAGGGGACGGGGAGGAGCGCTGACGCTAGGCGTAGTCGAAGATGAGCGCGGACATTGCTCTTGAGCCTTGAGGCGGCACTTAGGAGGTCGGCACTTGTTCTTGAGCACTAAGAAGGTGGATGTGGATGCGGCTAGCCATGCTTCACCACTCTGCTCTTCTACGTGTATGGAGCACCGTGTTGTTATCTCCGATCCGCCGAGTGGATTTTTCGGCCTTTGGCTATGGGAGAATCTCGCTCTGCTCTCTACGATTCGCGACCGAAAACACCCGCCATTCAAGCCCAACTCGACACATGCCCCCTACTGGCCAACAAGGAGCAACCGCCTCCACTCCCCGCTAGTGAGACACGCACGGGTGTCGGTGGTAGCGAGTGAGCCGCGCGCGCGCGCAGCGCGGCGCGGCTCGGTGGGAGTCGTGATTTGTCGCACAAGGGATTCGATCAACGCCCGTCGGAACACTCACAAACATCGAAAGTGTTATCGTGGGTGGCGTAATTGACGTATAAGTCGTGCTGGCGCGCTAATGGCGCGTTTGATATTGGGATGGTGTGAACTCGCCTGGCTGGCGCCATGGCTCGTCCATCATCGAGAGGTCTGCCCCTCGCTCGCTAGGTGTCACTCTACCCCCCCCGGCTCGGCGCGCCGTTCAGCTAGCAGTCTCGTGACGCGACGTCGCGGCGAGCCTCAATCTGTTGGCATGCCTGTGAGGGGCACAGAGAGTCAATCCCATCAATAGTCCGCCGCGCGCGGTCGCCGTTGGTGGCGCGTATGACGCCGAGGGCGGCGCGTATGGCGCCGTTGGTGGCGCGTATGACGCCGAGGGGCGAGGGCGGCGATGACGCCGTTGGTGGCGATGACGCCGTTGGTGGCGATCACGCCGTCGGTGGCGATCACGCCCGGCAGCGCCGTTGCTGCAGCTGTTGTTGTTGCTCTCCGGGGCCGATGGAATGTTCGTCGTTGGCGGCTAGGACTCCCGCTTGAATCACTTCTGCCATTTGCTATGACAGATGAATGGGGTGATTCACGAGGGGCTGCGCTCTCCCCCCCCCGCTGAGGCGCCAATTCCGGTCGGCCCTTTTTTGCGGGACGATTTTTTTTGCTGACAGTGGGTTCGTATGCCACCGTTTTGGGTTGCTGCAGCGATGACAATTGCTGTCAATGCCAGTACCAACCCACCATCTCTGCTGTGCAAGTTGAGCGGTGCAATTCCAGTTGGATACGGCAGATCTCGGCAGAGGTACGCCGTTGCGTGTTGGGCTCATAAATTTTGTTGGGCTGGCCTCGAGGCCAGCAGCCGCTGCCATAGAGCATAGTGAGACACGCACGGGTGTCGGTGGTAGCGAGTGAGCCGCGCGCGCGCGCAGCGCGGCGCGGCTCGGTGGGAGTCGTGATTTGTCGCACAAGCGACAAGGGATTCGATCAAGCGATCAACGCCCCCGTCGGAACACGTGTACTCACAAACATCGAAAGTGTTTTAGAGTATCGTGGGTGGCGTAATTGACGTATAAGTCGTGCTGGCGCGCTAATGGCGCGTTTGATATTGGGATGGTGTAACTCGCCTGGCTGGCGCCATGGCTCGTCCATCATCGAGAGGTCTGCCCCTCGCTAGGTGTCACTCTACCCGCCTCGGCCTGCGCCAGGGGAGGTTCCACACATACACACGCTAGACTAGCTTCTGCACAAGCCGCGGGGTGCCGCTTGACTGGCTCTCTCATCGGTGGCGGTGCCTGGCGCCATTGCCGCCCCAGCCGAGCCTAGCTCGCGATCGGCGGCGTGGTGGCGCGCGCCGTCAGCGCCACGAGCATCTGCACCAGCCACGCGGGTGCCTCGACGCCGACCGGGAGGGGCGGCGGGGAGGCCTCGCCTCCGTCCCTCTCCTCGACGTCGTCAGAGACGGCGGCGGCGGCGGCGAGGGGCGCGGCCGCTCGCACGGCGCCCTTGTCCGCCGCCTCGTTCTGCTCCGCGCGCACTATCAGCGCGACAAACGAGGCGGGGCCGGCGGCGCCAGCAGACGCCTTGCGGGAGAAGCGCCAGCCGAGGTGCTTGGGAGCGCCGGTGCCCTCGCCGGTGCACACCACAAAGTGCGACCAGGCGTAGTCTGTGAACCATGAGTCTGCCGCCTCGGCGGCCGGAGCGGGCACCTCGGTGATCCCGCTCGGGTCAATCTCGGACACTAGCGCTAGGTCAAAGGGCAGCTCGCGCTTGCTGAGCCGGGCGGGCTGGCGGAAGGTGAAGACGGGAACACTCGCCCCTCCGTGCTTGCGCGTTCGCACGCGCACAAAGGTGTCGGCCTGGCGCGAGAGCGCCGCGGCCTCAAGGAGAAGCGTGGACGGCGGCAGCGCCTGCGCCGGACAGCAACCGGCGGCGGGCTGCGCGTCGTGCGGGTTGCCCTCGGCTAGGAGGGCGTCCAATGCGGAGGTGGAGGGATAAAGGAGGGCGAGAATCAGGGGGAGGCGTGGGTCGGGCATTTCGGTACGGTGTCGGCGCCGAATTCTATGACCAGCGAGGTAGAATTCTTAAGATACAAGCCTCTCTCACAGCACACTGGCACGACAAGGGCGCAGACTGGCGCGGACTGGCACACACACAGCGAGGTAGAAAAGAATTCGAACTCCGGTCGCGCAAGTGGCCGCGTTCAAGCGGCATTTTGCTCGCGTCGGCGCCGCCGAGCGCTGCACAGCACATTCACTGAACACCAACGACAGGTGTGCGACTACGCGCTCGTCTTTCTCGTCTACGAGGAGAAGAACGACGGCGAAGCGCCGTACTCGGTCTCCTTCACCGCGACGCAGAACGGCCGTCATCGTCCAGGCGGCCGATGCGGCGGCCGATGCGGCGGCCGATGCGGCGGCCGATGCGGCGGCGGGGCGCAGAGCACGCGTGCTCTGCGCGAGTGCGAGCGCGGGATCGCTCAGGATCAGCAGCACGGCGGCCGCGAGCCGGAGAGGCCCGACAGCCGACATACCAGCTGAAGTAAGGGGGCGTTGTTGTTCGCCTTTGGCGCGCGCAGTGTGGACGCGCGCCGCCCAGCGCCGGACGTGCCGGAGCCGGTCCGGCGCGCGCGCGGGCGGCCAGCGCCTGTAAACAGACAGCTGCCGCCCGCACGTTCAAAGCTAGACTGTCTTTGAATTGATGACCGCGCAAGATAAAAGGGTGGCTAAGGGCTCTGCCCGCAAGGCGCCCGCGTCGCAGACGCGGTACCATTGACAAATCTGCGATATACCCCCACACGAGCAAATAGCAAAATCCGAATACCGTGCACAAACTGCGTGATGTCGGCCGGGCAAGCCATCAGCTGGTGCCAAGACATTCGTAAAATTGAAGCCAAGAACGTCCGTATTTAGATCTATCGAGACGCCCGTGGTCCGCGAGCCAGACTAAGACGCCCCCGGCTCACCATTCCTGCGATGAAGGGCACGCACCGGACCTGGTATCGCTCAGACTATCGGCCGCCTCCGCGCCCCGCCCGGCCCGCCCTTCCGCTCGCCGCCATTCCGCCGGCCGCCCTCGCCGCCATTCCCGGCCGCAACTCTCGCGCGCAGACGCGGGGGCCTTGGGGGGTCGGGTTCAAGGGGCGTAGGCGGCGGCGCAAGTGCTGGCGGCCGACGAGCGCGGCCTACAGCCGGCGCGCCTACAGCTTGCGCCACGCCGCCACCCCGTCCCTCGCCTCCCCCTTCAACCTCATCCCGTACGGCAGCAATCTCCCTTCGGACGGAGGGGAGCCGGCCGACTGCGACAACCTGGGGTGGCTCGACCTGTGGGGCACGATGCTAGGCGAAGACCTCGCCGCCCCCCCGCGGGCGGCCGACGAGGCGGAGCCCGAAGCGGCCTTCTGAAAAGGGAGCGCGCAGAGACGACCCTCTCCTGAGACGACCCTCTCCTCCCCCCCCTTCTTCCGGGCCTTCGTCTCGGGGCCCTCGATCCGGACCCTTTCTTCCGGGCTCGCGCCCCCGCCCCCGCCAGCCCCACGCGCGGTGGCATCAGGGCGCGCGCTACCCGTCACAGGCTTCACGGAGGCCTCCTTCGGCCAGAAGCCAGTCGGCGGGTGCCGCGCCTTGCGGGCGTGAGCGTCTCCCCCCTCTGCGCCCTTCTACGCGAGGGGAGGAGGTGAGCAGAGCGCTCGCGCCCTGCCCGCTGCCCGCGTGCCGCCTCGCCTCCCAAGTGCGGTGCGCTTCCCGGTGGGCTGACCCACCTCCGTTGCTTTTGCAGCCTGGCACGCGCCAGCCAGAGCGTGGAGCCCGCCGGCTGGCTTCTGCCTCGCCAAACGGGACGACGCCGCGCCACCCGCCCGCCCGCCGCCAACCAGCAGCTTTGGGACGCCTCGAAGCCAGGGCACGGTGGCCTCCCGGCCAGCGCGCCGCGCCGCGGTAGAGTGCTTGCCTTTTGCCAGTCTTGCGCAGCGGCTATAGCCTTATAACCCCTAAACGGCTACCGAAACGGGGGGTGCCCGGAAGGGCGATATCACGGCGGCCTAAATGTGCCTCCGTGCGCTCGCCACATACCCCCTGCTGCCCGAGGGCCGTGTTAGCACTTTATTGGATACATACAGAGGCGGTGGGAAGCCACCACATTCCCTTCAAATTTTCCGCCACAGAGCTCCGGAGCGCGCTCTGCACGAGCTCCTGGGACGCGGTTTCGTCTTTCGATCCCAGACGGTCGTCGCACGTCGGCGCCCCAGTGAGGTCCGCCGTCATAGCTGTAGCACGCTACTAGACACACTGCCTCCAAGTTGAGCGGTGGAAAATTGTGACCACCCCGAAGCCACGCACCGAAGCGCCGGCGTCCCTCTGGCATTCTGCCACCGACAGCAACACGCCTTTGATCACCGGCTGCTTGCGCTCCGCATACTCTCCAGAAGCTGTTGGTTGTGTGGCTGGTTCTACTTCTATCAGCCTTCTTCTTGCACAATGTTGCCGTTGAGCTACGAGGCTGCAACCCGTCGTCATTTGAGTTTGCTGCCAGCCACACACAGCGCGTTCCTGCACGACGAATGTGGTTGGACAGGTGTGAACAACACCTCGTGGGGGCGGCACCGCAGGCGTCCATTGAGGGGTCCAGGTGATAGCCCTGGGCGGGCAATCCATGCGCCTAGTTGGACTTCAGATCGCCCGATCGCGTCCCGGTGAACTGACGTCGGATTTGTGACGCCGCCGCACCGCGCCGCGGCCGGGGGCCCTCCGGAGGCTGAGGATGGCCGTGGCGGACCGAGACGAGCTCTGGGAGGTAAAGTGTCAGTGTATATATTGTAGAGGCTGACCATGTGCACAATATCTCTCACTCTAGCTAAGCCTGGGGAGGCTATTCTGGGCGTCCACACGGCTTGCACCGGTGACCCTCGCGACAAAGCGAGCGCGTCCGGCAGAGCGACTGAAGAATCGAAGACAGAGTCACAAATCCCGCTTGTTGTGCATGTTTTGAGGTCGGACAGTGCTGATGTCTTCTCCACGCAGCAGCCGACGCCACCAGGCCTCGGTAGCTGAGCAGCAGGAGCCTCCTCGCTGCTGGCAGAGTTGCGCCTCTGTTTGCCGCCGCTAAGAGATCGCTGTTGCGGGAATCCAGGGAATCTAAAGGAATCTAGAATCTGTGGGTCCGAGATTCGATCTGGGACCTGAGCCGCTCGGGACCAGCTGCACATGATCCGGGGCCACTGCCATGTCGCAGACGACTGCTGGCTCGGCCGTCGCTCCGACCAGCCGTCCTGCCAAGGAATAAAATAACATGAGTTCCTTTACATATGTAAAGGAACGCCGTTTAGGGGTTAAGGGCATGAGATTTCTTTTAACAAAATAAATAAAACGGCTACCTCAGGTACAGGGTTGCACCCCAAAAAATTTTTGCGCTGGCGTCTGCCGCGCGCGCGCCCGCGCCCCGCCCCTTTTGCGCAGCAACACCTTAAACTTCATGGCCCTCCAAATTCGGGTCGGAGCGTAGCGGAGTGGGACCCGAGTTTGAAAAAGGCGACGGACGCTTGCGTCCTAGCCTCCAACAACGCCTCCCCGGCGCAGAGGGGCCCCCGGAGGGATGCTCAACCGCCCCACGCCACGCCGCTTGCGGCGGTCCTAAAAAAAGAAAGAAAGAAAACAGACAACCCAAGGGAGGGATGGGAGGACGGCACGCCGCCACCACACAGGGATTTTAAGGAGAGGTGTGTGGTGCGCTATCCGTCGCCCACCCTAGGGAGTCTGCCTCTTCCTATGCGGCGGTCCTATTCCCAGCTCGCGCGGCCGCGTCTTATTTTTTCTTCCGTAATCAAGCCGGGGAATCGAGGGAAGCTTCTCTGGGTTTGGCTGGGAAGGCCATGCTTAGCCTCGGCCCCCTCGCGAGCCCGGCGCTGGTCGCGGGCCCGACCGCGAGCGGCGCGAGCCCGGCGACGGTCGCGGGCCCGACGGCGGCCGCGCCTCGCGCGCTGCGGCGCGCGTCGCCGGTGATGCAGATGGCCTTCAACGATCTGTACGACCCCTACTACAACCCGTACCAGCCGATTGCGACCGACACGCTGGGCACCTACCGCGACCCATACTACCCGGGGCCATTCTACGGCCCGCCTGGCGCGTACGGCTGGGGAGGCTACTACGGTGGCTACGGGCCCTGGGTCGGCTACGGCATTGGGCCCTGGAACGGCGACGGCTACCGAGGCGTCCCTCGCACGCGGGCAGAGGCGCGGATGGAGGCACGCGCTTACGGGAAGGCCGCGCAGCTTGCGTACGCGCCCGGGGCGCAAGAGTACGGCGCGAGCCCGGCGCAGCAGGCGGAGATGGCCAAGCAGCGGGCCGAGGCGGCGCAGGCGCAGGCGAGCCAGGCGCAGGCAGAGGCGGAGGCGGCGGTCGAGGCGGCGCGGGTGGAGGAGGAGCAGGCAAAGGTGCGCGAGGAGGAGGCGGCGCGGTTGCAGCAGGCGGCCGCGGAGGCGAGGGAACGCGCCGAGGCCTCCGCGCGCATGGCGGCCGAGGATGCCTCCAAGGCGTTCGAGGCGGAGACGGCCGCCGCGACGATGCCGGGGACGATGCCGGGGCAGTACTACGGGAACGCCGCCTACGGGAACACCGCCTACGGGAACGCCGCCGCCCCCTACGGCGGCGCCGCCGCCGCCGGCTGTGGATAGACGAGCTGAATCGGCACGGTTCACGCGCCGTGGTGTGAACAGGCGCTCCCCCCGCTAGCAACCGCGCGCAGGGCGGCCGCCGCGACCGGCCGCGCTACCTCGAGGACTCGGTCGGGCAGGGAGGGCAGAGCCTCGGGGACTCCAACATGCAGCTCTGAGGGCGGTCGTGCCGCCGCTGCTTGAGGGCTGGCCGCGCCGCCGCCCATTCCATTCTCTTCGACCCGTCCGATGTGTCGTCGATTTGCTCTACGACCGGTCCGGTTTGGTCGGCGTCGAGGCACTCGCGAGGAAGGGGTCGGGGCCGACGCGAGGGGAGACGCGGCCAGCGCGCGGGGGCTGAGGGCACGACCCGGCAGCGTTCCTCGGAGGCTGACGGGTTGTGTCCGAGAGCGGATCGGGTCTCTGACTGAAGGACCGCGTCGCGCGCAGGACTTTTCGCGTTTCATTTCACGCTGTGTGTGCTCTCTTTTAGCTACGTGTTAATGTACCTATGTGCGTGTTGACTTGTTGTCGTCATGGTGTCAAAAAGTTTAGGACGAATAAGGTGCGCCGATGCGCGGGCGAGCGAGATCGCATGGGCCGGCATGGCGCCGGGGTGGCGCTCTGGCTACACTGCGTCGTACTGGCAGCTCGCTCTGGCGCACATGGGGCAAGGTGGTCGAGATAGTTGAGGGCAGTTATGACGACGATGACAAGTGGGTCCCCGGACTCGGCGACGACGCGAGGCTCTGGGGCTGTGGCGGTGGCGCTGATCGCTTCTTCGCTCAGTGCTCGATGGCGCCGGGCGCCAACGGCTTCATCAACCCGGATCACATGCGCCCACTGACTGGTTCGGAGAAGCCTTCAACGTGGACTTCGCTTGGCATTCGCATGACCCCTGAGTGGGAATCGATGATCCTGCGTAACCCACGAGGCTACTGCACTTCGGTCAACCTCGCGTCATCTGCCAACGGCACGGGCACGTACCGCGCCGAGCTGTGGCGTGGCGGCCAGCTCGTGCACACCTTCATGATCGGCATCTTTCCCCACCCGGGCTCGCAGTCGTGGGGCGATGTCGAGGATCGCGAGCAGCAGCACGCCAAGTTCCTGCGCGACCTTGCCTTTCGTACGCCGTCGCAGACGCACGTGATCCGCATCAACGCCGACGATTTCGACTGAGCTGACCCTCGGCTGTGATCGAGCTGTGCCTGCCAACAGCAAGGCGCCAAGGGACGACGTGTCGCCTTGCTGGGTACTTGGCTGGGCGCACGCTTCACGAGCCGTCTGTTGGGAGAGGGAACACTGGAGAGGAGAGGGAGGCCGGCACACGTCACGATAGCACACGTGACACGCGCTCTTTTTTTTCTTGGACACAAACACATGCGACAATCCGATCGCGACACTGAGATATAGGTCGGCTAACTATTGGCTGACTATCAAATATGTTGTGCCGCATCCGCACATGCCCGATGCCCGTCGGCGAGCGAGCACTTGCGACTTGGAGTGCGAGAGAGGCTCCAGGCTGAGACCTGAGTCCTGAGAGAGAGCGGGGGTCCACGACTAAAATTCACACCGCCGCTCCTCGAAGCCGGCCCGCCCTCCCCTTGCCGAGGCCTTTGGGCGGCTCGCCGATGTAGGCCTGGCACGCGCCGCGCAGCCCGAGGCAGTTCCCCCAGCTGGAATTTGCGCCCGCCTGCACCCGCACGTACCCTCCCTCGCCAAAGCCCGGCCCCCAGCTGTTCTTGAGCTTCCAGAAGGGCAGCCACGGCTCGACGGAAGTGTCGACGCCGAAGCCGACCAGCAGGACGGCGTGGTCCACGCGGGTGTGGTTGCAGCCCGCGCCGGAGATGACGCCGCCTCGGTACCCCTGCAAGGAGGCGTCGATGGAGACCGAGAGCGGGCCGTGCTGCAGCCACGCGAGCATCTGCGCCTCGTCGGCGTGCACGAGGCAGCTGGCGCCGCTGATGTGGGCCGCGCTCAGTGCCGGGTCGGCGGCCGTCGCGTTGCAGGGCGAGCGGCAGCCTCGGATGGTCGGGTCGGAGTGGTTGGCCAGCGGGTAGACGGCGCTCGGCGCGAGGCCTATAGCAGGGCGTGCAGCAGATAGTCGGGAGTGGAACAAAGCAGCATGATTGCTCTCCGGTTTTTTCGGCGCAAGGCCCTTGTGCACGCTCGAGACCCAGCCCATGCCATACGGGCCGGTGTACGACGCGCAATCGATCATCTCTTGCTCGGAGAGCTTCACTAGCCCGTGGCCGCGCAGGAACCACTGCGCCTCGATGTCGGCCGTCGCTGAGAACTGGGCGCACGTGCCACACCGGCCCTGCGAGATGGGCGGGTTCACGGCGCCGCGGCTCACCCAATCAATCGGCCCCGCCTCTCGAATGGAAGCCTCGTCGAACGGCAGCCGCCGCTCGGTGCCCGCCGTGTCGATCGGCCCGCCGCGCAGGCCGGAGAGCTCGCTAGCCGTCCAGTCGGCGGTCCAGTCCAGCTCAAAGCGTGCGTGTGGATTCGCTTGGCTGGATGTTTCGACGGCGAGCTTCGCGCGCTCCCAAATCCCCAGCCGTGAGGCCTCCTCCGCAACGGTCGCGTAGGAGCGGCCGTGCGCGAGCTTCCAGTCGGCGAAGGTGGGCGGCGTTGTCATGGAGCGAGCGAGCGAGAGCAGCGGCTACACAACAGATTTTTTTTGCATGCCTTCGATGTGATCTGTGATCTGCTGAGGGAGGGTGTAGAGATGTAGAGTGTAGAGCGCTGTAGAGCTGTAGAGCTGGAGAGCGCTGTAGAGCTGTAGAGCTCTACATCCGCCGCGTGACGAGGCGCGTGCGTTGTAGAGCGATGTAGAGGCGCAACAAAACAAAACTTGCTAAAAATCTCTCTCTTTCTCTAGAGGCGCTCTACAACGTGAAATCTCTACAGCAAACTCTACATGATAAGCGGAGGCACGGTCGCTCTCCGACATTAGGCGCGTTGCACTTGTGCCAGTGCTGCCCTGGCCTTCTGTCTGCCCGCCCAATGGGTGGCAGGTGCCTCTGCTGCTATGGCATGCCTCACGGCTGCGACTGGCCGGCGCCTCGGCGCGTCAGCTCGGCTCGGCGTAGCGATAGTGGCCAGCGCAACTCGCCTGGACTCAACGCTCAGCCAGGAGCTTCCGCACGCGCTGGCGCGAGGCATGGCGCATGCAGCGCGTCTGAATGCTCGCCTCTCGCCTCGCGCAAATGCGACCGTCCTCGCAGCCGACAGTCCACCGCCTGCTAAAGAAGCACTGCGACGAATGCGGCACCGGCGACGCATGGCAGGCTGGTCATGACGCAGTTATAGGGTGTTGTGTGCCGTCAGAGGGACTCTCTGTGTGTCAGTGATAGTCAGGGCCGTCCATCAGAGCTCCAGTAAGCTCGGAGACACCCCATTAGTGCGACTCGACCTCTTTGAGTCACTGCCTTCCCGGCGGTTTGGCTGTAGAGCCTCTACAACAAACTCTACAGCAAAATCGCGCTCTACATCGCTCTACAACGCAGGCGCCTCGTCACGCGGCGGATGTAGAGCTCTACAGCTCTACAGCGCTCCAGAGCGCTCTACATCTCTACAGCTCTACAGCAGCGCTCTACACTCTACATCCTCTACACCCTCCCTCAGGTGATCTGTAAGGGTCCGCCCGCAGGCGCATTTTGTATACCGAGGCGGTGCCCGGTGCCGAACCTGTCGGACCTTAAGACTCACAGCATTGTAGATCCCTGGGCGAGGGTGATGGCGCGTCCCCGTCGGGTCAGGGCTGAGGGCGGGGGAGACCAACCCGATCTCTCCGGCGTCCCGGGAGCGTGATTGACACCTCCCCCTGCGCCAACAGCCCCATAGAGGTAGGCCGCTCGTCTAGCCAATCAGCCTTAAGCGAGCGGCCTGGCCGTTGGAATGGCCGAGTTTGGTGGACTTGCGTCCTCGCATCGATCGTGGTTACAAGTAAGTAGCGTTATGAACAGAACACCCACCATGAACCACGTTCATCGGGAAGGGGGAGGTCTGTGACCTGCCTATTCGCCCGGCATGCGAGGGCATGCCCTTGGGGGGTCGACGGGCCCCCGGGGGCGACGGGGGTGCTCTCCGGCCGCGGCGGCCGAAAACGGGGGTCTCCAGTACGGTCCAGTAATGAAGTGATGCACTTGATGCAAGGGTGCCATTGTGCTCTACTACAAAAGTTGTGTGAGATGCCCAAGTCTCAGACACTGAATCCTAAGCGGAGCTGAGTTCTGACGGTGTGAACACGAGCAACCGGAGTGACGACCGGGACCGGGCCGCACGCCGGGAGTGCCCCGACTAGCAGTGGCGGGCGCGGACGAGCGAATGAGAGGTCGTTATCTGTGGAAGATGTGTTATTAGAGACTAGGATTGCCTATCTCTCACTGAAAGGGACCTCTCATTCGCTCGTCCGCACCCGTCACCGCTCACGGAGTGCTCCGCGTGCCGCACCGGCCGCCGCCGGCCGCCGGCCGCTCACGGTAACGGAACAGTCTTACTACTCCGCAACGTTGAGCTCGATCGTACTGAATAGTGCTCCTGAAAGCCCTCTCTCTGGGCTCTGCAACACAGTAGCAGCTCACGACTAGCAGCTGCTGTGGCTGTATTTGTAGCCATTTTTAGGCTTCTCAACTGGTCCCAAACTAGTAGCAACACCTCATGAAAATCAGTCAAAAGCCCCAAAAGATCGGCGCCTGCGGCGGGCTTCCTGGGGCTGCGCCCCAGACCCCCTTGACTGGGAGGACCCCCCCAAGAGCACCCCCGTCGCCCCCGGGGCCCGTCGATCCCCCAGGGGGCATGCGCGGCCTTTCGGAGCCCCCTTCCTCTGTCGGCTTAGTACGGTTGGTCAGCGCGTCTCCGTCTGAAATCATCTCTAGGCTTCCGTGGCGGGCCCTCCTTCCGCTGGCGCTCCCGCTTTCTCTTCGCTTTCGTCATCTGCTCCTCGGACCCTAGCTCGGACCTCGCCCTCGTGATGCTGTTGGTTCGCCCCCTGCCCCTCTCCCTGACTCATCGAATCGCTACGTTCATTCTCAAAATCGCCCCCGCTTCCTCGGCGGCTGGGACGCCTCGTCCTCTGGCTGTTCCTCGTCTACGTCCATCACTGTAAACTCGTCGTCTGTCTGCAGTGGCTGCCGCGCTTCGTTTGGATGCTTGGATGGCCCGTTTCGGGTGGTTGCTCGCTCGGTCCTGCTCCTGGCTCTGTTGTGCGGTCGGGCATGTCATGAAACACATGCGGCGGACACACGCATATGGCTAGTTCCATTTCACTCTGACACGCTAATCTTGAAAACGTCCAACGGAGCTCCGTGTTGCTCCCAGCGCCCTCCCCCGCGCTTCCTGCGGCCCTAGCCGATGGTACTAGCATGGGAGGTCATCTGGCTACCGCGAGAGCGACCCAACTCGTCGACATCGTCCGATGATGGTGCCTCAAAGTCAGCCTTCGGAGGCTATCGTGGGGTCGAGCCGGCAGTAGCCGTGACATGTGGTTCCACCACCCCTCGTAGTCTTTGCCTCTGACCGCCACCGTTCCCAGGCTGCCTAATGGGATGGAAAGGAAGGCTCGGCGAGCGTATAGAAGCGTGCTCGACCTCGTCGTGGCAACCTGCACGGCATCGCTGGCAGGCGCGATGAGCGTCGTGCCACCTGACCCGAGACGGGTCGCAGGCGTCGTACCGAGCGCGTCGAGACCGTGTCCTGATGTGATCTGCACGGGTGAGTCACGTCGGCGTCAAAGGAGCGACGTGCGACCTGTCAGAGCTTGATCTCCGATCTCAGCGGCGGCGAGTCGTCTCCGGCGCGCGACAAAGGTACATCCCCAGGACGCGCAGAGGCAGCTGCGACCCAGCGGAGTGGACGGTAACGCACCGCGCCACCTGCTGTGCGTTACCGTCCACTCGGCGGGGTCGCAGCTGCCTCTGGAAGGCACCGAGATGTACCTTTTTCGCGCAATGGTCAAAATCAAGGTTTTGTAACGCGGGCTGTGCCACAGTGAAATGGAACTAGCCTATGGCATATCGCTCTCGGGCCCACAAAAAGAAAACTTTCAAAAAAAGAATCACAAACTCTCATCTAGTGGACAGCCAATCGGCTTGAATGGGCTCCAGCGTGGTGGGCGCTCGGCCGGAGGCCGCATGGCTGCACGTAGCTGGCGGTCGGCTCGGGTACAGCGAGTAAGTCAGCGTTGCGCCGAGTCCCGCACCCTCGAGGTGCGCCAGTTGCCGCCAGATGGTGGCGATGTGCTTTCTCGCGCCGCGCGCGCTCTTCTTGAGCGACAGGTAGGTCGACGACGCCTCCCACAGCCGAGCGCGCGATAGGCTGACGACGTGGTCGAGGCACTGCGGGCGGTGGTTGCACGATGGGACGCAGGGGGAGAAAGCGGACATGCGGAGGAGGTGGCCGCCCACGTCGCGTGGCGCGATGAAGAGATAATCCTGGTCGACGGCGACCAGCCCGGGGCGAAGCAGGCTGTCAAGGGAGGGCGAGCACTCCCACCTCAGGTCTGGCCGGCTCTGGAGGATGTACTCGTACCGCCTGGCCGTGCGGCGCTCCTCGGCTTCGATGCCTTTCATGCAGCCCGCCCACCTCACGATCAGCGCGGCACGCGGCACATTCTCGTAGGCGACCGAGCACGGGACGGCGGACGATGTCTTTGCCGACTTGTTTGTGCGGACGCGCAGGTGTGTGGGCAGCAGCTCCCGGTCGGGTTGCAGCAACCACGAGCGCAGCCTGCCGCTGCCGTTGAGGAGGGTCCGCAGCCTCGCCACGCGAGACGTCTCGACAGGAAACCACCCGTCGCAGTCTCGCGAGCCCGCTGGTGCGAGCGCGGGTGCATGCATCTGCCCTGGGCGCGGCATGACGGCGTGAAGCAGCCCGCCGCGAGGAGCGCGCCAGACGAACTCGGCGCGCGTGCCATTGATCGTCATGCAGCGGGAGTATTCGGCCGAGGCGTGGACAAAGATGTCTGGCTGCAAGACGTCAAGCACCACCGCCTTGAAGTGAGCGGCGACCTGATCGTCGTGCAGGAGGGCACGCATCTGCCCGGCCAAGCACATCGCGGAGCGCGGCGGCATGTGGTGCCCGGTGCGAGGTGGAGAATGAATGAGGAACGCGCGAGCGCTGGAAGTAAGAAAAAGCGCACCCGCGGGAGAGATCCCCTGTGCCCTGTGCCCAGCCCTCTCCGCGCCGCGATGCGCGCCCCCCCCTCCCCTTTTGCAAAATGCAGTTCACTACGCGCTACGGGTACTATGTTCGTAAGAGCTACATAACTGAAAATCCTGGGGGACGTGTCTGTCCCGCTCGACCAGCCCTAGCGCCTAGGAATAGCTTGGCATGTCCGTTTTATTTATTTGTAGTTGCCCAAGTGCTCCTCAGGCTAATGTGTAATGACCGCACTCCAAAGTGCCTCAAGTGGCAAGTGCGGGCTGCGGCGGCGGGCGGGACCACACCACTGCGCACACTGCTAGGCACACTGGCGCTGGCACGGACACGTGTGCACCACGGAGCTTCTCAAAAAACGACAACAAGTTGGGCACGCCTCCCTGCCTCCCTAGAGCTATGAGCTCTCTCTAGAGTCATCGCAGCTCCTTGTTGCGGGCGCGCCGCCTCCTCAGCGCGGCTGCGGCCGGCGCGACGACGACCGCAGACGCCGCGGCCGGCGTCGCACACAGGTCGGCGAGGGCGGAGCAGGCCGCGCCGCAGGCGGCGCGGAGGACGAGGGCGGCCGCGAGCAGGGCGGCCCACCGCACGGCTTGCCTCGCCCACGCGCGAAGGCAGAGGAGGTAGGAGCGATGCAGCGTCCGCCTCCGCAGAGCCGCGAGCTGCACGTCCTCGCCGTCGTACCGGATGCACTCGAGCCCGGGCACCGCGAGCGAGCGCAGGATCGCCTTTGCCAGACTCGTGTGCGAGGCGGCGGCAAAGGTGCTCGTCGAGTCCTCCTCCTCCGCCGCGTCCTCGACGATCAGCTCAAAGCCGGGGTGCTGCGGCGCGTACTCGGTCGCGTCGTACACTCCGAATGTGCCCGCCAGGCCGCCCGCCGCCTCGCCGTCAATCTTTAGGAGGAGGCGACCCGACCGCCGCTGCGCGAGGAGCTTCCAAGAGCGAGCGAACTCGAAGTAGGCCTGCTTTGGCGAGAGGCCGTCATTTTCCCGCGGTGGCTGCCCGTGAAAGAGGAGCCGCAGGATGCGCGAGTGGTGGCGCCAGAGCAACGCCGTCCACACCTGCTCCTCGTTTGCGGCGGCGCGGAGCGCGGCGCAGGCGCGCGATGCAGCGAGCAGCGAGACCGCGTCGGCAAAGCTCAGCGCGTGGACGAGGAGCTCAGGAGTGAGGGAGCGGAGCGGGGATGGGTGCTCCATATGTTTGTTCTGGCGAACTGCTTCACGCGACTGGAGGGGTTGCACTGGACTGTACGTCGATGCGATGCGATGCTACTTCACTTCGACACCGTGCGCCGATGCCTCTCTCTGGCTGTCGGGGAGCGAAGTAAAAAGTAATTCCAGTGGCGGCCAATGACTGCACTCCAAGTGGGCGAGCTGCTCGAGATGCTCGAGAGCTTGCCGCGAGGGGCGGTCGAGGCCTCCGTTCGGCTGATGCGCGGTTACAACCGCACGGGCGAGTGGCCAGAGCCCATCCTCACCAGCCCTGCCCCGCAGCGCGGCCGCTCGCCAAGCCCCGTCGATGAGTGGTCAGATGGATAGTGCCCGAGAGCGAGGGGTCCGGGGGGGAGCACAAACATGTATATACATAGGACGCCCAGCCTTGCCCTCGTGCCGCCGAGTGCATATCCTATGCGAGAGAGATCCCCTGTGTGCCCTGTGCCCAGCCCTCTCCGCGCGGCGATGCGCCCTCCCCCCTCGCTTTTGCAAAATCCTGCAAAGGTGGGGACGTGTCTGTCCTCGACCCAGCCCTAGCTTGGGATGTCCGTTGTATTTATTTATTTATTGCACTCCAAGTGCTCCAAGGGCCGCAGGGCGCGGAGGGCTTGTTGGCGAGCCAAAATAATGATGTCCGAGGCGCTGCGCTAGGCTCAGAGCGAGTTCGCGCTGCGCTAGGCTCAGACGGCGAGTTCGCGCTGGCCGCTGCGCTAGGCTCACACAGACGGAGACGGCGAGTGGGAGTGCGCTGCGATCGATAGCGAGGGAGGGCGAGAGACGATCGAGTGGTCCCGTACCATGCGGAATCGACCCTATCCAGTGCTTTAGTGCTCAAGAAAGAAAAGGACAGACCCAGACAGCTGTGACCTGCGCGGAGTGGGGGCCCTGCGGCTTGCACGCGCCGCGGGCCGATTGCGGGCAGGAGGAGGGGGAGATGGCCATGCCCCCTCCTTTGGTGATGTCCCTTGGGGTGTGGACGGATGTCGGCGCTGTGAACCCAGGGCCTCCAGGGCTCGCACCTCAACCTCTCACAGGCCAGCGCACAGCACCATAGGAGGTATTTTCTTCTCAATAACAAGGCTGTGAACAGCGCCGGGACCGACCCGTCCGGCGGCCCTGGGGGGGATGCCTCTGTGCGCGCGACCTTTGACACCCGGCCGCCGCTCAGCTCGCGTCCCACGATTTCCATCGCGCCTCTTCACGACCAGTACGCTGTGGAATCGTTTGCTCCCAGAACTATTAAAGAAAACAAAATACGCGAAACCCCCACCCCCCCCATTCTCCGACGTAGCCAGCCCTCTTGTGGCTTCGACGCACACGCTACTTCAGCCACAGAGTCCTGGACATGTCTATCAGAACTTCCTTGGGGGGGTGGGAGTCGCTAAACATATTCCCCGGGGCGGTCACCGCTGCCGCCCCCGGGGCGGTCGCCGCTGCGCCGCCCCACAGGGCGATTTCGGCAAGTTTCATTATGAGTCGCCAGTTCGAACTATGAGTTGTCGATTCGACTCTCGGGGCCGCAGTCGTTGCTGCCCCCGTCCCCCCCTCGGGTTCGTCAAGCGCCCGCCGTTCAAGTTTCGGGCGCTCATGCCTAAGTGAGGGTGTGAACGGGACTATGCCCCTCCCTGAGAACGAGCAGCACACCCCCTCAGTGACTAGCCGATGCGCATTACATCCTAGTCGCTGGACCTAACACGGCTCGTCCCTATCCTGTTGGGCTAGTGCGGCCTCCCTGATCCATCTGGCTCTTCGTTCGGTTTGGTCTACATTCCATCTTCCGCGCGGGCACGACTGGTTATAGCACTTTGGTTTGCGCCAAACGGATGGCCAATTCCCCTTCTTTCTGTTTATTATTTCCTGTCGCGCTTCATCGTCACTCCCTTCCCTGGGGTCATCTGACTGATCTCTCTCTCTCTCTCTCTCGACTCTCCTCTTCTGATCTGACTGATCCTTCCTGTTTCTCCCTCCCTCCCACCCCTCCCTCCCGCTCCCTTCCTCTCTCGACTCCTCCTCGCTCGCATTCCGCCGCCCCCAGCACAGGTATGAGCTCGTCAAATCTGGGAGAGAGAGAGGGGATACAAACCGACCAGGGAAACGAGGCGGCGACAGCAGCGAGCAGTTGCCTCATCCAAAAGGTTCCGCCCCTGACGCGATTCACCCGATAACGTCACCGTCAGGGGCAAAATGCTGCCAGAAGGGGTACAACGACCCTCGGCTCCTGCCAGCCTCGCTCCCTGCCCACCCCGCTGACCCCGGGCCCGCGGAACGTAGGCCTCGATCATCTTTTGGACCCACGAGCCGCACCTGCGCAAGGTGGCGCCCGTCGTTCTGAAGATCCCGATAAACTTGGCGATCCCTGCTTCGGTCGTTCTGGAGCTTGGCCCGCCTCCAGAGACGGTGCGGCCGCCGCGCTGCTCGCCCTGCTTGCTACCACGCGCTCAGCGCCGTCGCGCCCCACCGCCCCAGGTGCGACCCGGCTTCGAGCTGTCAGACGAGTTCCAACCCGAGATCTGGCAGCCAGCCCCGCTCGTTGACCAATGCCTCCTCCTTTAGCACCTGGCAGCAGTTCCCCTCACCCCGCGATGGCGCCCGCAGGTTCAAGCCCACGAGCTCATACACGTTCAGTGTTGCTCCCGCCCCCGTCATCTCCCACCGCGCCCAGCGGCTCTGGGAGAGACTCAAGACCATCCGTCTCGCTGACGGCCGCATGGTAATGCTCTCCAAGGCCACACCTCCCAGCTGACCACCACCCCCGACCCACCGGTGTGCTCGCCCGTGCACAGCTGCTGCCAGCTCGTGTCTTCGACCTCAATACCGCGTGAGCCTATTAGCCCGACAATATAGGGCCAACGCACCGGCTAATAGTACGAGCATGAAGCGGTTTTCACGCGAGCCCCCGGCCTCGCACAGGTACTACTACCAGCGCGTCGAGTGGGTTAACCTCCGTCCGTCGCCAGTCGCGGGCAACCCCCTTCCGATGGTCGAGGAGGCCGCCGAGATGTCGTGTGACGGCCAAGAATGCAACACGCTACATGGCGCGGGGAATGTGGTGACTGCACTTCGCCATTTTTGACTTCCGGCACGCGCATATTTTCCGGGGACGGGCATTCGCTGCGAGAGACAAGCCGTAACGGCGTGCGTGCCTATTCGGGGGCGCCGCCTGTGCTGAGAGCGCTTTGGTCGCATTTTATTTCAGTTTCGGACATCTGGAGCCGAGAGAAATCAGTCAACCACACTAGATGAGAGGGCTCCCTCGGGGGTTTTGTGTGTACATTTGTTGAACTAGCCGGGGGGGCAGTCGGCGGAGACGAAGGGGCAACTCCGTCCACGCTTGGGACTTGGCTCTAAGCACTAACGAGGGCCGGCAGGGGGGAGACTTGCGAGCAGCGAGAGGGGGTCTCGCCGGACTCCGCTGTCGCCTGCGCGGTACTCTCTCACCTTGTGGCGTGTGAGCTGTGACGCGAGAGGGACGTGTAACGGTTTCCTTTAAGAATCAAAGCCTCGAGATATCAAGCAAGCAAACAACAAACCAATGTCATCGACCCGCCGCGACGTGCCGATACACCTCCGGGTGTGCCGCGGCGTCCGCATACACGGCCGGCATCAGAGCGTGCAAGTCACCAGGCTCGAAGCACGCGAGCATGTCGCCGAGCCCCGCCGCTTGCATCGCCCGCCCCACGCGCTCGTCGCGGCTGCCGCCCGCCCGAGGCGCGGCCTCGCCCGCCGCCTCCTGGGAGCGAGCCGCCGTCGCCGCCGCCGCACACCGCGGCGGCGGCGGCGGCGACGGCGGCCTCTCGAGCGGACCCGCACGCTTGACGGCGAAGACGTGCACTGCGCCGTCCGTGTCGGGGACAAGTGCGCACCCGCCCCCGGCGCCGACAGCGCACAAGTAGGCGCCGGCGGCACCGGGTGGCGCTGCGGCGGGCGGTGGCGTGAGCAGCTGCAGGGCGTCGCCTCGCAGCGAGAGGACGTGCAGCCTCCCACCCACGTACTCGGAGACGAGCAGCAGGCTGCGGCTGACCGCCACGCCAGCAGGGTACTGCATCCGGCCAGGGCCTGACCCGTGCCGCCCAAAGGCACCAGCGGGAGCGCCCTCTGCCGTGAACAGGGCGACGCGGTGGTTGCACATGTCCGCAACCCAGACCGTCCCGCCGTGCACCGCAACGCCGCGAGGGTCGTGCAGGCACCCCGCCCCCGAGCCACGCCTCCCAAAGGCAAAGCGCGGCCTGCCGTCCGCCGAGTACGCAACCACGCGGTGGCGGCCAGAGTCGACCACGTAGAGCAGCGGCTCTCTCGCGCCGGCAGAGTGGCGCCGCTCGGAGCCGCCACACGCGCTTCCCGCTTCGGCCGCAGCAAAGGCGCATCCGTATGGCGCCAGCAGCGGCAGGCTCGCGTCGTCGCCGCACGCACGCAAACCGCTGTCGCCCCCCCCTCCAAACGAGCGGACGAGGCGGCCCTCGAGGTCGAGCTGGAGCACGCAGGCGGCCGCGCCGTCAACGACGTAGAGGGAGGCTGCCGACCTCGCCACGCCGAGCGGTCGGCGAAGGGCCGAAGAGCCGCACGGTTCGGTATGCGGCGGAAGAGAGATCACGTGCAGGATAGAGCCACTGAGCAGGCAGACCACCGCGATCGTCCCGTGGCCATAGTCCGCGACGAGAGCACGGCGCTCGGGGAGCGGAGCCACAAAGAACGGGTTGCAGCACCCGGCGTGCCACGAGCAGATATGCTCGAGGTGCTCAGCCTGCTGGGCGGCGGCTGGCGGCGGCGGCGTCGTCCGGGTCGAGGCACGCGGCGGCCACGGCCGGCCGGACTCCGCGTAGGCCGCCACTAGGTGGTCGTGCAGCGTCGGGAGCATGTGAGTGCTCACACACACACGTGTGTATAAGCAGGCCACTCGTCGGTGAGCCTGCGGACGTAGGGGCAGAATCGAGGCCGTCAGCGGCCCAGCCGAGAGATATGCGGCGAGAGATATGCAGCCGAGAGATATGCAGCGCGCAGTGGCGCCTACGCGCGAAGCGATTTCTTTTTGTTTGTTTTGGGTACCACTTTCCAGAAGGGTCTGTTACGCGGTGACACCCTATGCAATAGATAGGAAGGTAGGGCGTTTTGGCCGCAGCTGTGGTTGGCTCTGTCGCAACTTCCGTCGACAAAACTTTTTCTCTAAAATCTCTCTCTCTCTCAGAAGCAGGACGGCCGGCTAGAGCGGAGCCGGTCGATTTCCATTGTCAAGACTGCGCGAAGTGTTGTCGCGGGGCCCAGAGCCGGGCGCGAGGCGCGCTCGGCTGTGATTTCTTATGTCCCACCATGCAGAGCGCATCTCTCTCTCTGTTGTGCGAGGCGTGAACCGCGCCATTCGCTCTCACCTGGCAACCCTGTCTGCACGTCTCGCGCGCGCGTGAATGAACAGGGCATCCGGATAGCCAGGATTCCGGCTGCCGTTGATGCTCCATCGCCCGCAACAGGCGTACAATGCTGCAGCACTGCACCGAGAGGCGCAGCAACCTCGACCCGGGTGTTGCTCGAGTCCGTAACGCCCGCCGGGCGAATACGATTGCCTGGCCCTATCGCCAAACGGCCCTGCTCCTCCTCTTGTCTGGCAGCAAACGCAAGCTGCGGCACAGGCCGCATTGGCGCAGAGGAGGCGACAAGCCTCAACGCGCCTACCCGTGGCATGCCGCCGGATCGGGCCAAGACTAAGGCTGCCGGATTCGGCCCCGCCTGCTGCGAGTGCCCTCCCGTTGAGGTGTCCATCGTATTTACAGTGGGGCTAGCGCGTCGGCAGGATCCCCAAAATCGTCCCTCCAAACGCCCCAAATGAACCGAACCACCGACCATCTGCCCCCCCCCCCCCAAAACGTACTTACGTTAAACGCCCATAAACTTCAGTCTCCAGGGGCTCCAGGCCCCAAATGATGTGTGAGTGTTAGAGTTGTTTGGTATTGAAAAATCAACAAGAAAGATCTCTCTGAAAAAGCTCTCTCGGCTGTGGTAGGCCAGTGGGCGAGCGCCATTGGGCGGCTCAGCCATGCACGTCGTAAATAAATAAATAAAAACGGACACCGCTCTACTGTGAGATGGGTAAAAAGGAACAGGTCCCCGCCCTTGCGATCTTTGTGCAGGGTTCTTTGTGGGTGTGGTCGGCGACTAGCCGGGGTCGTCCTCCCGATTGGGGGACTAGCACTAGCCGTCTTCCACATGGTCCCTCGGGTCCCTGTGCTGCTCCTAATCTCTTCGTACATCCTCCTGCTGATCTCCGCAAAGTCCTGCTCCCTCCCTCGTCTCGCCCTGCGCGTCTGCTCCGCCTCACCGTCTTCTGCCCTGCGTCGTCTGGCGACGGGTCCTCCATAGTCGGTCGAGGTCGCCGCCCTCCTCGTGCCTCTTCCCAACGTTCCCTCGGCGGCCGATACCGTCCGCTCCGGCTCCCCAGTCCCCGGGTCTGCCCTGCTCTCGTCTGCGCTAGTTTCTGCTTCGTCCCCACCGGCGTCTCTCCTCTTCCTTCTCCCCTTCTTCCGCGCCAGTCTGCGCCCTCGTCGTGCCAGTGTGCTGTGAGAGAGGCTTGTATCTTAAGAATTCTCCCCTTCTTGTATGCTTTGCACATCGCGTCGATTCCTTTTCGCGTGAGCACCAGCCTGAAGCCCGCCCAGCATCTGAACCGCTCCCTAAGTCGAAGGAGCATCATCAGTCTCACCCACTTCGCTCTCTGCCCACCGTCTCCGCTCCCTCCCGCTTGAGCCGCACGTCGTAGGAACGTAGCTTAAATCTTTTTTCACAGCAGAGAGAGAGAGAAGAAGAGAGAGCCAGGCTCTGTGTGTGTGAGGGCTGGTTGCACCAGTACTCCGGTGTGTGTGAATAGGCCCGCGGGTAGTCTCCCCCCATCCCCAGGGCCTCCAGGGCTCGCACCTCAACCTCTCACAGACGCACAAAAAGAAAGAAAGAAAACGGACAAGCCAAGGGAGGGATGGGAGAACGGCACGCCGCCACCACACAGGCATTTTAAGGAGAGGGGTGTGATGCGCTAGCCGTCGCCCACCCTTGGCGCTTGGGTGTCCGCCTCTTCCTATCTCTCTTCGCAGTCTCTCGCCGATTCTCGCTGCAACCTTCATGCCACCTCGAAGAAGAAGAAGATCTCTCTCTCTCTCTCACCTCGCGGTCATCCCACTCTCGTCGTTCTTTCCCTTGTCACTTCCTCCTCTGTCACGTCGCTCTCAGACGCACAGCTACGGATTTCTTTGCAATAGCACGCGCCAGTTCGCACCTGTGTCGAGCCTGTGTGCTGTGAGAGAGAGTTGTCTTGTTTAAATTCTTTGCAATAAAATTCTTCTCAAAAAACAAGGCTGTGAAAGGCTCCGCGCCGCTCGTACCTCTCCGCTCGGCGAGCCATCGCTCAATCTCGGAGCCGGAACCCAGGAAGGCGATGCCGACGTGCTCGCGCTGCCTCGAGAAAAAGCCGCTCGACGCCTTCTCGGACGCGCAGCTCGTCTCTGGCAAGCGAAAGTGCCTGCAGTGCTCCAACCCACGCCTTCACGAGCGGAAGGTCGCCGAGGGCCTCGCGGGCCGCCCTCTCGCCGACCTGGGCCGTCAGCGGCCGCGCGCGGCGCCGCCTCCCGCCGACGCCACGCTCGCGTGCACCGGATGCGGACGACACTTCCCGCTCCGCAGCTTCTCGGCACGGCAGCGCTCGCCGCAGGGCAAGGGCCGCTGCACGGCATGCGCCGCCTCGGCGTACGCAGCCAATACGGCCGAGCAGCAGGCCGCCGCCAAGCGCCGCAGGTTGGAGGAGGCCGCCACGCCGGCGACTGCCCCGCCGCTCGCGGGCGGCGCTCGTGGCGGACGCGCTGACAGCTGCTCTGACGACGAGCGGTATGAGGAGTCGCTGCTCTCGTGCGTGGAGGCGTTCCGACCCGCGCCGGCGGCCGCGCCCGCGCCGCTCGACGCGAGCAACGTCGGCCACCGCCTGCTGCAGCGTCTCGGCTGGTCGCCCGGTGCGCCGATTGGGCAGAGGGGCGCCGCCGCCGCCGGCTCAGTCTCGGGCGAGCCGACGCAGCGCGACCGGAGGGGCCTCGGTCACGACGCTCTGTGCGGCGCGGGCGGCGCAGGCGGCAGCGTGGGCGGTGCCGTGACTGCCGTCACGCCGGTGGCACTTGTCGTCCCGCCGGATGTGCTGCGGTGGGAGGCGGAGCCCGAGGGGGCGGTGCCGGGCAGGCTCGACGCGGTCAATCTTCTGCCACAGGAGCAGGTTGAGGTGCAGTCCGGGTAATAATAGAAACGTCTTGACACATATTCCGATGGCTTGTTGCTTACGTCGGTATAAGGAAAGGGGAGTAACGTAAGTAAGGTAAACATATCCATCAGCATCACACACGACACAAAGTGGTTTCGTGTTGGACTATAGAGACTTAGCTCTCTTAGGTCACGTGTGTTGTTACTTGTTTTTGTTGAAGAGAGAGAGGAACACGTCGAGTGGCTGAGGAAGCTCTTCGCTGGGTGGAAGGAGGCCCGGCCGGCCTTGAGGGAGTCGCGGAGGAGGAGGGATAACGCAGGCAACGCAGGGACGGGCCAACAGCCAGTGGGGGACGAACGAGGGCCGCGACGGCGGCTCAAGCGGCGGGGAGGGAGCGGCGACAGTGGGCAGCGAGCGAAGTGGGTGAGACTGATGATGCTCCTTCGACTTAGGGAGCGGTTCAGATGCTGGGCGGGCTTCAGGCTGGTGCTCACGCGAAAAGGAATCGACGCGATGTACAAAGCATACAAGAAGAGGAGAAAGAAGAGGAGGGACACCAGTGAGGACGAAACAGAAACTAGCGCAGACGAGAGCAGGGCAGACCCGGGGACGGGGGAGTTGGAGCAGACGGCATCGGCCGTCGAGGGAACGTTGGGAAGAGGCACGAGGAGGGCGGCGACCTCGACCGACTATGGAGGACCCCGTCGCCAGACGACGCAGGGCAGACGACGGTGAGGCGGAGCAGACGCGCAGGGCGAGACGAGGGAGGGAGCAGGACTTTGCGGAGATCAGCAGGAGGATGTACGAAGAGATTAGGAGCAGCAGGGACCCGAGGGACCATGTGGAAGACGGCTAGTGCTAGTCCCCCATCGGGAGAGGACGACCCCGGCTAGTCGCCGACCACACCCACAAAGAACCCTGGTGCACAAAGATCGCAAGGGCGGGGACCTGTTCCTCTTTACCCATCTCACAGTAGAGGTGTCCGTTTTTATTTATTTATTTATTTACTTGTTGTTGTTTCACTCCCAGTGAGAGACGAGAATCGAGAACGTCACGAGATGCAGATGGAGACATTTGGAGAGGGCTGAGGGACGACGACACTGCTTCAGTCAGTAGCGTGCACCTCGATGCCTGTACAGTTGTAACGTGATTGTTATGAGCCTATGACCCCCCCACCCCCCCCAAATGAACACACCAGTGAGGGTGGGCGAGACGATCGAGGGGTCCCGCCTGCCCGTACCGGCGTACGCGGAATCGACCCTCCCTATCCCAGTCTTGGCCGCTTTGTGTATCTCGAGACCTCGAGAGAAGGCCGCCCGCAGGCCTCCCCGAGGGCCCAAGTGAGAATTGACTTCATTTCGCGGGCAAATCCCTGTCAGGAAAGCGTGAGGAAAGCGTCATCGAGACACGTGTACGCGTGTGTGCAGGTCGCCGCAACTTCGCGCTCATGCCGTCGGCCTCCAGCCAACGCGATTGCAGCAGCGCTGGGCCGGGACCGAACGTTGCGGTCTGCATCACGGGCTCCGTGCGCTCCTTCGGCCAGCGGCGTATACACGGCGGCATCCTGCGTCACCTGGTCCAGGCCTTTGTCGGAGGGTACCCCTAGGGTTCTGAGGACCGGACTTTTTGAAGAGCTTTTAAGAAATGAGGAGGTTTGGGGGCTTAAAATGCCATTTAAGAGATTGCAGGCAGGGCGGGTCCCTCTTTTAAGACCGTTTAAGAAAATATCGGCCTCGGACCGGCACGCGTCGCTGCGTTCCGCGCCGTTTTCTTCACAATACTGCCGTTATTAGGCATCTGAAGACACATATGTAAGTCTGGTGCACTGGCAGGTGGAGCCATACTCGCATAGGGGACGCGTGCTAGCTGACTGTAGCCAGCTTCCCGGCCTCCGGCGTCTACCGGGAGCCCTGCGGGAGCCTCCCGGACCAACGCGCCTCGGGAGCTCTCCCGCACCGTTTAAGCGTTTAAGACCGTTTAAGGAATTCTTTTTCGCAGGAGTCGCTTAGGCGGCTCCCGTGGTGTACCTGTGTTAGTGCCAGTGCGCGCCAGTCCCGTGCCCAGTGTTGAGCGAGGGAGCTCGGTGCAGAATTCTTTTTCTCGCGATGTCCACCCCGCCGCGCCGCCGCTCGCGCCGCCTCGCCACCTCCTCCTCCGCCGCCGCTCCCTCGCCAGGCACGCCGCCGCCCGCCCGCCTCCTCGACCTCCCCACCGAGCTCCTCGAGCGCGTCCTCGCTCGCTGTGACAGCCCCGCCGACATCGCTCGCGTCGCGGCCGTCTCGCTGCTCTTCCACGCCTCGCTTGCGGCGGGGGCCATCCGCTTGTGGGCGCAAGAGCGCGGCTTCGAGCTGCCGGCGCAGCCTGAGGACGAGGGCTGCGCCGTGCGGTGGCTGTGCTATTCGGCGCTGCTGTGCGAGTCCAACCCGCCGGCGAAGGCGGCGGGAGGCGAGCATCACAGCCTCTTCATCGACGGCGAGGGGCGGCTCTCGTCGTGCGGCTCTGCGCCGGAGTGGAATCCAGCGCTGCTCGGTCACGGCGAGGGCGTGGCGCGGCTCAACACGCCGACCCTCCTCCCCTCCCCGCTGGGAGGTGAGCACGCCGTGAGCGTGTCGGCTGGAACCGGGCACAGCCTCGCCCTCGCCGCCGACGGCGATGTCTGGAGCTGGGGCCAGGGAGGCTCTGGCCAGCTGGGCCACGGCGACGAGCAGAACCAGCTGCTGCCCAAGAAGATCGAGGCCTTCGCTGACCAGCGCGTCGTCGCTGCGTCGGCTGGGTACGGCCACAACCTCGCCATCACCGCTGACGGCTCCGTCTGGAGCTGGGGCGATGGCTACTCTGGCCAGCTGGGCCACGGCGACCGGCAAAACCAGCTGCTGCCCAAGAGGATCGAGGCCTTGGCTGGGCAGCGCGTTGTCGCTGTGTCTGCTGGAGACGACCACAACCTCGCCATCACCGCCGGCGGAGCTGTCTGGAGCTGGGGCCAGGGAGCCTGCGGCAAGCTGGGCCACGGCGACGAGCAGCCCCAGCTGCTTCCGAACAAGATCGAGGCCTTTGCTGGCCAATGCGTCGTCGCTGTCTCGGCCGGACTGACGCACAGCTTCGCCATCACCGCCGACGGCGCCGTCTGGAGCTGGGGCGACGGAGACTACGGCCAGCTGGGCCACGGCGACGAGCGGCGCCAGCTGCTGCCCAAGAAGGTCGAGGCCTTGGCTGGCCAGCGCGTCGTCGCTGTGTCGGCGGGACGTGGGCACAGCCTCGCCATCACTGCCGACGGAGCCGTCTGGAGCTGGGGCTTTGGAGCCTTTGGCCAGCTGGGCCACGGCGACGGGCAGGACCAGCTGCTGCCCAAGAAGATCGAGGCCTTCGCTGACCTGCGCGTCGTCGCTGTCGCGGCTGGACGGTTCTATAGCCTCGCCCTCACCGCCGACAGCGCCATCTTCACCTGGGGCGAGGGCGAATACAGCTGCCTAGGCCACGGAGAGGACATGTCGAACCAGCTGCTGCCCAAGAAGATTTAGTCGTGGGCGCGGGGGCACCGGGGTGGGTTCCCGACCTCGTCTCACCCCGCTGGCTGCGAACGCGAACGCCGTCGTCCCAGCTGCACCCGTCCGCTCGCCTCACCGAGCGACGCGCGCCGAGCCACTTGTATCAGTACACAGTGTTGAGCTGCCTCGTGCAGGCCTGTGCTGCCGACGCGAGACCGGCCGAGAGCTTGCTCTGGCTCGTGTCCCTGAAAACCCTGTCGCCTGTGCTCCGTCCGCGTCGCGGCCTCTGAGCTCCGTCGAGTCGCCCGGGCGCGCGCGGGCAGGCGCACCGAACTTACCGGAGGGTGTTTCAGCGAGCCATTGAAAAGAAGTCCACCTTGAGGGATTCGTGGCGGGAAAACGGCACGGCACAGTCGCTGGTCTGTGGTGACTGCCAGTTCGACTCTGAGGAAGACACCGGTAACTTTTGAAGATTATCACGAGAGGAGCACTTGGAGCACTTGGAGTGCAGTCATTAGCCTCACATCCAGGGCCAGGGCCGGGGAGCTAAGACCCGGCCCTGCTTTTCTTTTTCTCGCGATGTCTGCCCCGCCGCGCCGCCGCTCGCGCCGCCTCGCCACCTCCTCCTCCGCCGCCGCTCCCTCGCCAGGCACGCCGCCGCCCGCCCGCCTCCTCGACCTCCCCACCGAGCTCCTCGAGCGCGTCCTCGCTCGCTGCGACAGCCCCGTCGACATCGCTCGCGTCGCGGCCGTCTCGCTGCTCTTCCACGCCTCGCTCGCGGCGGAGGGCATCCGCTTGTGGGCGCAAGAGCGCGGCTTCGAGCTGCCGGCGCAGCCTGAGGACGAGGGCTGCGCCGTGCGGTGGCTGTGCTATTCGGCGCTGCTGTGCGAGTCCAACCCGCCGGCGAGGGCGGCGGGAGGCGGATGGCACAGCCTCTTCATTGACAGCGAGGGGCGGCTCTCGTCGTGCGGCTCGGAGGTGCTCGTCGCAGGCCTCCTTGGCCACGGCGAGGGCGTGGCGCGGCTCAATGCGCCGACCCGCCTCCCCTCTACATCGCTGGGAGGCGAGCGCGCCGTGAGCGTGTCGGCTGCAACCGGGCACAGTCTCGCCCTCGCCGCCGACGGCGATGTCTGGAGCTGGGGCCAGGGAGCCTGCGGCAAGCTGGGCCACGGCGACACGCAGCCCCAGCTGCTGCCGAACAAGGTCGAGGCCTTTGCTGGCCAACGCGTCGTCGCTGTGTCAGCTGGAGGCGCGCACAGCCTCGCCATCACCGCCAACGGCGCCATCTGGAGCTGGGGCGGTGGAGGCTTTGGCCGGCTGGGCCACGGCGACCAGCAGCACCAGCTGCTGCCCAAGAGGGTCGAAGCCTTTGCTGGCCAGCGCGTCGTCGCTGTGACGGCTGGATCCGTTCACAACCTCGCCCTCACCGCCGACGGCGCTGTCTGGAGCTGGGGCGGTGGAGGCTCTGGCAAGCTGGGCCACAGCGACCAGCAGAACCAGCTGCTGCCGAAGAAGGTCGAGGGCTTGGCTGGCCAACGCGTCGTCGCTGTCTCGGCTGGGACCGCTCACAGCCTCGCCATCACCGCCGACGGAGAGGTCTGGTCCTGGGGCTGGGGAGCCAATGACCGGTTGGGCCACGGCGACGAGCAGAGCCAGTGGCAGCCGAAGAAGATCGAGACCTTTGCTGGCCAGCGCGTTGTCGCGGTCTCGGCTGGAGCCCACCACAATCTCGCCATCACCACCGGCGGCGCCGTCTGGAGCTGGGGTGGTGGAGGGGACGGCAAGCTGGGCCACGGCGACGAGCAGATGCAGCGGCAGCCCAAGAAGATCGAGGCCTTTGCTGGCCGGCGCGTCGTCGCTGTCGCGGCTGGACGGTTCCATAGCCTCGCCCTCACCGCCGACAGCGCCGTCTTCACCTGGGGCGAGGGCGAATCCAGCTGCCTAGGCCACGGAGAGGACCTGTCGAACCAGCTGCTGCCCAAGAAGATTTAGTCGTGGGCGCGGGGGCACCGGGGTGGGTTCCCGACCTCGTCTCACCCCGCTGGCTGGGAACGCGAACGCTGTCATCCCAGCTGCACCCGTCCGCTCGCCTCACTGAGCGACGCGCGCCGAGCCACTTGTATCAGTACACAGTGCTGAGCTGCCACGTGCAGGCCTGTGCTGCCGACGCGAGAGGCCGAGAGCTTGCTCTGGCTCGTGTCCCTGAAAACCCTGTCGCCTGTGCTCCGTCCGCGTCGCGGCCTCTGAGCTCCGTCGAGTCGCCCGGGCGCGCGCGGGCAGGCGCACCGAACTTACCGGAGGGTGTTTCAGAGAGCCATTGAAAAGAAGTCCCGACCTTGAGGGATTCGTGGGAACGCCACGGCACAGTCGCTGGTCTGGTGGCTGCCAGTTCGACTCTGAGGAAGACACCGGTAACTTTTCAAGGATTTCGTCGCTTTTCTTTTTCTCAGCAGCAGCGGGGAGCACGGTCGGAAGGGCGCTTTTGTCGGCCGACTACACGGTAAGGCATACGGACCTTGCAGTAAACCTTTTCCTTCTAAGCAGGGCTACACAATGACCCCATAGTGTGTGGGTGTTTCTGGCGAGTCGTGATGAGTAGAATTAGATTAGCCAATGTTATTTTGAAGTTCATATATGAAAATACCAACTTGCCTATGTGCACGTCTCCGCGGCAGCGGCCCGGAGGCGGCCCGGCGGAGCGGTCAGAGCAGCACTGCGCCGGCCGGCGATCGACTCTCGACTATAACACGGGCTCTATTGAACGGCCTCAAGGTGCTCTCTAGGGCTGCCCTATTCCGCTCGCCCGGCTACGACGCTGAGCTTCGAAGGAAAAGGTTTCGCTCGGCACGGCGTCGGAGAGCAAACGTCGGCGTTCGTCCTGGACGCACGTCGGCAAGTGGTCGCATGACCAGGCCGGCTGCTGCTCAGAATCTGGGCCCTCTTGGCGCTCGCTCTCCATAACGGCTTTGCCCCCTCCCTCCCGCGCCGACGTTGGGCAGCCCGACCACGACAACGCCAGTGCCGCCGGCCTGCAGCTCGAGGCGCCGTTGAATGAGCACGAGAGCCGGTGCACGACGGCGGCGCGGGTGATGCAGCCCAAGGTGACGACGACGGCGGAGGGGGCGGCGGCGGAGGGGGCGGCGGCGGAGGGGGCGGCGGCGGAGGGGGCGGCGGCGGCAGCGGCGACGGCCGCGGGGTCGGCCCGCCCGCCTTTGCTGCTGGGCTGTGGGCATCATCACAGCTCAACGTGAAGTCAAGGCGCGGAAGCTTCAGTGGGCACTTTTCGCGTCATTTGCCACGCATATAGCGCCGCGGACCGGTCTACCGGACCCGCCCCTGATCTTGCTCTCTTCCTCGACTCGACCTTCCGCGATCTTTCTCGACTCGACCTGATGCTGAGTTCCCGCACCAGCCTGCGGACCAGCGCAGTTCAGTGGCAGTGTGCAACCAGGGCCAGTGGTAGACAGTGGACGTGCGTGAGGCTGCTCTCTGAGCGATGACACTTGCAGGGGCATCATGATTTCCATCGGAGTCACTTGTATTACGACGCTGCCACGCTCGCAAGGGCCGCCTAAGCGCCTAAGCACCCTAAGCACCCCCCGCTTAGGCCGCTTAGGCGCTTAGGCGAGTGACTGCCGGCTGCCCGGGGCCTGGCGTGCCTCTGGGTGGGGTGAGTGCCTGGAAGAGCCACTCTGCAAGTGGTGTGCGAGCGTGTAGCCTTTAGCGTGCAGTCGGCCTGTCGCTTTCGGCAACACTGAATCATTCTACCGGAACATGGTCATGGGGCATGGGCCCTACTGCAAGGAGGGAGAGGGAGGTGGGGGGGCAGGGAGAGGGGGGGGGAGAGGAGGAGGGGGGGGGGGAGGGGGAGGGGTACGGGGGGGGGGGCGGCATGGAGGGGGAGAGGAAGAGCAAGGGCGAGAGAGGGCAAGGGACTGGGCGCTGGCATACCAGGGGGGGCAGGGTGGTGGGCGGCGACCGCCGCATACCGTCCTACGGCGGGGACTATCGCTACGCCAGGGAAGACAAGGGCGTCGAAGTGCAGCTGCTGCTGTTCGAATCGTTCGGCGGGTTCGGAAAGGGGGTCCGTGAGATCCTCCGGAAGGCGGCGGACGTGCTACAGAACAAGCTGACGCGGGCCCAGTACCTCGATGAGGTGACTTGGACCACCAAGAGCTGGCTGGGGCTGCAGAAGCAGCGCATCTCAGTCGTGCTTCACACGGCCATCGCAGAGCAGGTCGTGAATGAGCTTGCCTGTGGCGGGGGTGGGCGGGTGCACGGAGCTAAGTGCCTCGCCACCCTCGCAGGAGTCGCTTAGGCGGCTCCCGTGGTGTACCTGTGTTAGTGCCAGTGCGCGCCAGTCCCGTGCCCAGTGTTGAGCGAGGGAGCTGGGGTGCAGAATTCTTTTTCTCGCGATGTCCACCCCGCCGCGCCGCCGCTCGCGCCGCCTCGCCACCTCCTCCTCCGCCGCCGCTCCCTCGCCAGGCACGCCGCCGCCCGCCCGCCTCCTCGACCTCCCCACCGAGCTCCTCGAGCGCGTCCTCGCTCGCTGCGACAGCTTAAGCCTAGGGGGCTCTAAGACCAGATGGTATATACGAAATACCGGATTCAATGTCGCGTGATCCCGCGTGTTGTTCCCGGGCATTCACACTATGTTCCTGAGATAATTTGGCGATTATATCCATACCTCGAGGTAAGGGATTTCATCCCTTTATGGATTGGAGATTCGTGTTTTTGGTTCCGGTTTTGGGTAAAACGTATACAGCGAACGCGATGCGGCCCCTGCCTAGCTTGCTGCTTCTATGCGCGAGCTACGGCGGGACCGCTATCGTTCATGGCTCCGCCTCCGGCCAGTCTGGCCTCGACTATTGCATCGCCGAGGCCGACACCACCAGCGACATGACAGCGTCGACCACCATGGCAGCTCCAACGTGTGCGCTACCATGGGTGGACAAGTCTTGCACCCTACATGTCAGCCACCACCTGGGCGCCTGGCGTGTGCGAGCACAACCCCAATCGAGCCGAAGGATCTGAACAATGGGTCCAGTCGGTCTCGTCGAGCACGTTCGAGCCCGCCATTTGCATCGACAATTCATTTCTCAAAGATTTGTCGATAAATTGGCAACTTGGGTCAGAACACCTTGAGGACATGTGCGCCTCGCCCCACACGACCTCTCAGGCTATAGAGCACATGCCACAGCCTGCCCCTGAGGCGTCATTCACTCACGGCGGCCACTTTGATTTTCCGCCCCTTCGCAGTCAGCCACATGTACATGTATGTTGTTGTTGTTGTTGTTGTACATGTTGACATGTTGTTGTGCACCCATGGCCCAAGAGTCAACTCGGCTCGACGGCTTTAACCATCGTGGGGCACGGACATTCTGCGACAACCCAGCCCCCTAGTGGGCTTGCGATCCACCTTTCGCCGCCAACTCTGCTGGGTCAATGCAACGGGAACGGTTTCCTTTGCCTCCAAAATGTTTCACCATGGAATGCAACGCAAAAAGTCCTTGAGCCCTTGTGTAATGGGACAGAGGCAGTGCCCTTGTGTAATGGGACATGTCCTTCTGGAAAGGAGTTTGCCATCTACTTCCAAAACGGGACTCCCTGGAATACAACGCTGAGATCTACCCCTTGGCAGAAAGTCCTTCCCCGGGACCACTCGGACACGTCGAGTGCAGGAGAGGCAGAGCCCTTGTGCAATGGGACATGTTCTTCTGGAAAGGAGCTTGCTACCTACCAAGTCCTTGAGACCTTGAGCAGTGGGACAGAGGTAGTGCCCTTCAACAATAGGACATGTGGTATCATTTGGCCACTCCATGGAACCACCGATGCTGCGAAAGCTCTTTGCCTTGATCACTTTCGGCGACGCGGCAAGCGCGATTGGGTCAGATACGAGCTCCATTGGAACTATGTGTTCTCAAACAAGAATTGCGCTCGGGTGCAGTCCGCATGGATGGGAATGATCTGGCCATTTTTTCTTTGCTTTGCTCTCGTTGGGTTTCTTTTCCTTGCTTACTCCCTGCTGACAAGTGCACTGACAATTGGCGACCAGTTTGCTTACCAGACCGTTAGCAGCCTATTGATTATCCAAGCGTGGTACAAATTGCGACACTATGGTGCAAATACCAAGCTACTGATCATCAACCTGGGTATTCAAATCAAGTGGGTCTTTGACTGGTGTTTTTGCCTGGCGCCAGCTGCACTTGCGATATGCGGCATCATCCTGCTCGTTGCTTGGGGCATTGCAATCTACAATTTCGTGCGATCCCTCCTATACTTCGCCAGGTATGCATGCCTCGTCGCCTTTGAGGTCATCACCAGCACTACTGTCAAAACTGTTTGCTTCATTTGGACACCTATTCGACCACCACCATCTCTTTTGGGTGCCCCGTATGCATGCAATCGTTTTCGTCAGCAGCTATCGCGACTTCCTTCGGAGGGTTCTCGACTTCGTCAGTCCAGTCGTGAGGGAGCACTATACCGCACTATCTCCATCGTGGCTTCTAACATTTTCTAATGTTTGCCAACCGTGCGACGGCGGTTCCATGGACATGTCGAGCATCTCGCCTTGCAGCTACCACCCATTCCCGTGCCGAAATGCCCTTCGACCCAATGCCAACGAGAGGCCGATGCCATGAGTTCCGCACCGCCTACATGGCCATCGTCGGCGGACTACTGTGGCTTGCCAACATGACGCGCGTCGACATTGCTTATTCAGCGTCTCAGCTTGCTCGGTTTATGACCAACCCTGGCCCGTCGCATTTTAAAGCCGCCATCCGGGTGCTTATCTACGTGCGGGACACAGCTGACCGCGCCCTCGTCATGCAGCCGAACCCCAACCGCAACCTTGAGAGCTACGTCGATTCAAACTGGGCAACGAAGTTCTCTTGCTCCGGTGGCATGTTCTTCTTCTACGGATGTCTCTTCCACTGGTTCTCCAAGATGCAGCGATCTGTCACGCTGTCTAGTGCCGAGGCAGAGTTCTTTGGCGCCATGCTAGCCGCCAAGGAGGTGATTTTCATCCGTGAGCTACTGATCGACCTTGGATTTTCCATCGACGGCGCCAGCGTCATCAACTGCGACAGCAAATCCGCCGTCGGCATGGCCTTCGATCCCGTTGCCTTCAAGAAGACCAAGCACATCTTGCGCGCCGCCGAATTCCTTCGCGATCTCGTCAGCCGTGGCGTTATCTCTGTCGAACACCTCCCCGGCGTCGTGATGCTCGCCGACCTGCTCACGAAGGCTGCCTCGCGGGCCATTTTTACTGGCCTGATCAAGCAGCTTGACGACTTTCATGCCCTCTGAATGTGTTTGTCCCTCGCGCCCCGCACTCGGGCCAGGAGGGGCTGTTCCCGGGCATTCACACTATGTTCCTGAGATAATTTGGCGATTATATCCATAAGGGATTTCATCCCTTTATGGATTGGAGATTCGTGTTTTTGGTTCCGGTTTTGGGTAAAACGTATACAGCGAACGCGATGCGGCCCCTGCCTAGCTTGCTGCTTCTATGCGCGAGCTACGGCGGGACCGCTATCGTTCACGTGTGTTTTGACGGAATGTGATGTGACGCGTGGCGGAACCGGCAACCGCGTCTGTCGTCAGTCTCACATGCACGACTCAACTCTCAGCAGTGACGTGCAGAGACGAGAGAGCCAGCGTGCTCGGCCAGCGTGTCGCCGCTGTCGCACTCGCAGCGTTCGGCAGCCGCGGGACGGGCGAGCGAGTGGAGGCCCCGCACACACCCGGGCCCCCCCCGCGCAGCGCACAGGTTTGTGTATTTGGGGATTGGGCGTGGGACTGTGCTCCCTCTGTAACTGTATCGTGTATGGTCCAACCAGCGACCAGTGGGACCACGAATCGATGCACGTGCGCAGTGGCGCGCGAGGCGCGGCGCCCCCCGCCGCACAATAAGCTCTGTGGCCGCGCACATAGACTCAACTCGGCCCATCGGCATCGCTCAATAACTCTCTCGTGCGGCGCACACACAAAACACATAAAACAGAGTCGATGTGCAGAGTCCCGACATCGCCGGGGGAGAAACGGCGCGCACAGGCGGGCGGATGCCGCGCCGGCAGGGCCTCGCTGACTCACTCCCGCCGTGGGCAGAGTCGCGTCACGCCGCACCCATCCGCGTACCGCCCCCGGAGGCAGCTCACCACTTCTTCTGCCACGGGTTGCCGCCGCCGTTGCCCTCCTTCTTCTGGCCCGCGTAGTCGATGCGGATCTGCCGGCCGTCGATGGACTCGCCCGCGAGCTCGACCGCCTTGTCGACCTCCTCCGTCGAGCTGAAGGTGACGAAGCCGACGCCCTTGAACTCCTGCGTCTCGCGGTCGTTGAGCCACCGCACGTTCGTCACGGTGCCCGCCGACTTGAAGAAGTTCGTGATCTTGTCGTCGTCGATCGACCACGGCAGGTTGCCGATGAAGAGCTCGACGCAGCCTTCCGGCTTCTCCTTCTGCGGCTTGTAGGTGCGCTGCGGCTTGTTCGGGTCGGCTGGCCGCGGCTCGCGCGGCTTGGAGAAGTTGATGCGCGCCGGCCGCCCGCCCAGGTCGACGCCGTTGAGCGCCACCGCCTTGGTCGCCGCCTCGACCGACTCGAAGTCGATGAAGGCGATGCCGCGGAACTCGCCGTCCTTCTCCACCCACTTGATGCGGGAGATGGCGCCGCAGTCCTTGAAGGCGGCGCGCACGGTCTCCTCCTCGATGTTCCAGGCAAGATTGCCCAGGAAGATCGAGTTGGACGGCTCGCCCGGGTCGCTGTTGCCCGCCGCGCCGCCCGCGCGCTCCTTCTTTGCCGTCGCAATCTCAACCTTCATCGCCCGGCCGTCGAGGTCGTTTCCGTTGAGCTTGGTGGCCGCGTCCGCGGCGGCGGCGGAGGCGAACTGGAGGAAGCCGGCGCCCTTGAACTTGCCCGAGTCCGCGTGCGTGAGCCACTCGATCTTCGTGATCTCGCCGCACTTGGCAAAGACCTCCTTGATCTGCTCGTCGGTCACCGACCACGGGAGGTTGCCCAGGAAGACGCGGCCGCCCTCCCCCTCGGCGGCGGGCGTGGCGGCCGACGTCGCCGGCGCGGCCTCCTCCGCGGCCTCCTCCGCCTTGGCCTTTTTCTCCTTCTTCTCCTTCTTCTCCTTCTTCTCCTTCTTGGCCGGCGGCTCCTCGGCGGCCTGCGAGCGCGGGGTGATGGCGAGGAGGCGTCAGCAAGCGGCGCCGGCGGGCGGTGGCACGACGCGGTGGTGCGGCGGCATGGCGTGAAGCCGCGGACGGTGCGGACCGGCGCGGCGGCGCCGGCGGAGAGGCGCCGCAGGGCGCGGCATGCGCAGGCGGGGTGGTGGGGATCGGCGGTCACCGGCTCCTCCTCCTTCTCACGCTTCTTCTTCTTCTCCTTCTTGTCGCCGCCCGCGGCCGCCGCCTCCTTGGCGGCCTTGGCCTCCTTCTTCGCCTTCTTTTCTGCCTTGGCGGCCGCCGCCTCGTCCACCGCCGGCGCCGCCTCGGCCGCCGCGAGCTTCTTCGCCTTCTGCGGGCACCAGCACGGAGAGAGGTGAGCGGGCGAAGCGGCGGCGGCGCGCGCGCACGGTTAGGGGCTGGGCCGCACCTCGGCCTTGCGAGCCTTCTTCTCCTCCTTCGTCAGATCTCCCATTGATGGTGCGTCGTGGCTTGGCTCGTCGCCACCCTGGAGCCGTGTGAAAGAATTTTACACGTAGCCGGTCGCAGGACACGATTCACGCGAGAATCGGCGAGAGACTGCGAAGAGAGATAGGAAGAGGCAGACTCCCTAGGGTGGGTGACGGATAGCGCACCACACACCTCTCCTTAAAATCCCTGTGTGGTGGCGGCGTGCCGTCCTCCCATCCCTCCCTTGGGTTGTCTGTTTTCTTTCTTTTCTTTTACGATTCACGCACGATTCACGTGCCGCCGGGTGCAACTTTGTCCTATACGAGAGGGGAATCCCTGGGACCCTGTCGTGTGGGTGAACCCTGCCCAGCCCCCTCCGTGACGCGATGCGCTCCCCGCTCCCGTCGCGGTCCCGTTCCTCCCCTGTGTCCCTGATCGTCCTTACAAGATCCTGCTCGCGCAGGTGGGGACCCTGTCCTTCTCCCACCCCTTGTTTGGTGTGTCCGTTTTATTTATTTGTTTATACACGATTCACGCGACAGGCGAGGCGCGGGCGACGGCTTCCTCAGAAGCCGTGTGAAAAGAAACTTTATGCATACCCGTTGGTTGTCTCTATTTTTGCAAAATCCTGCAAAGGTGGGGACGTGTCTGTCCTCGACCCAGCCCTAGCTTGGGATGTCCGTTTTATTTATTTATTTATTTATTGTCTCCTTGTCCTGCTCGTGCAGGTGTGGTCTGTGGACCCCTGTCCTCCTCCCCCATCCCTCGTTTCCAACGTTTGGGTTTGTCTGTCTTCTTTCTTTCTTTCTTTCTTTGTGTCGTTTCTTTCTTTCTTTCTGGCAGCCCAGCTGGCTTAATCTCGTGTGAGTTAGCGTGTCTCTCTGTGTGTCGCTCCACGAGCGTGCCGTCGCATCTCCTGTCATCCACAGCCTCCATCCAGCGACCAGCGTCAAGAAAGTAGGGTTTTCAAAATCTCTCCCACACAGCGCGCCACCAAAATAGGCAATGACCGCGCCGGTGTCCAGTCGCAGTCCGAGCCTGACTTTCCTCAGATATCACAGATGCACGTGTACATACCAACAAAAACAACAACACTTATCCTCTCTCTCTCTCTCTCTCACTCAAAATTATGCTATAATACCAAAAGCGCAAAGGAGAATCGCGGTGGTTACGACAGTGCTCTCTACTTTTCGAAGGCTTTGTTTACACTGGATGCTTGGGAAGGTACTCGGCCTCGACGGCGGCATATTGCATTGGTGAGGCGATTCTATACGACACGATCTGACACGGGGCGATGACCGATCATGTGAGGCCACCCAAGTTTTGACGCCCGATAAAAGCCGATGCATGGATCGCGAAATTGTTATTTTATCGCTCCAAATCTGTTCGCGCGCGCGCAGACAGGGTTGCAAGATGAGCGAATGGCGAGGATCACGTGTCACACCACACACACATAATACACACACACACACACACACACACACACACACACACACACACACACACACACACACACACACACACACACACACACACACACACACACACACACACGAGGTTCACGCCGCGCACAGAAATTATCTCCGTCCGTCCGGGCTGGTATCGAGACTTCCGTACGAGAGATACTGGAGCGCGCCCCCGTGCCCCGAGATACCTGGGCGGTACTTGGGCGGGTTCGCGGGTTGCGGGAAAAAGAAAGGAGTAGTCGCCCCTTACCCATACTTGCGGGTGCGACCGCCGCTACCTGTGTACTTGAGACGAGTTGCAACATACTGCCATATGTGCGTCTCAACTCCCCATACCAGCCAGATACCCAGCATACGTCTTAGCTATGCGTCTACGAGGTATCTTTAAGTACCAGCGTTTGCCCACCTGGCGCAACAGCAGGAGATTTACCTGCCTGCCCCGACGATGGAAATAGATACCCCGATACGTTCATACCTCGCCCATACCTTACTTGGGTCTTGCTCTTGGCCCTGCCCGTCCGCTGAGTGAGTGAGTGAGCGCTCTGCTCCCGGCTTGCGCCAGCGTTACATGTAGAGCCTAGAGGAGGTGTCGCGCTTAGAGGCGGTGTCGCGCTAGCCTTCCGTGGGACTCGTGGCGTTTCCTTCTGTTCCAATGTATGTATGTTTCTTGGATCTTCTGTGAATGTTCACAGCAAACTCACGCAGCTTTTAGCGCAAGGTGCCTCTCCGCTGCGCCTGTGCGCCGCCACGCGTAGGGTGCTCGCGCCGGCGCCAGGCGCGCGATGATCACGTTTGGCACGAAGAAAACGGGCAAAGGGCCCTTCATCAGCAAGGTCCGCCGGTGGGTAGAGGAGGCGCTGCCGCCCGAGCACCGCGAGACGATGGTGATGGTGAACGAGCTGCAGTGCTTCGAGCCCGGGTGCGCCCCGCTCGAGACCGTGGTGACGCTGCTCGAGGAGAACAACCCAATCATGTTCAAGCTCTTTAAGCCGATAACAGAGGTGGGTCAGGAGGAGGTGATCGTGGAGCTGCGGCGGCGGCTGAGCGGCGGCGCTCTGGTGCAGCACGTGAATGGGGAGTCAGCGCCGCCGGCAGCAGCTCATGCAGCCGCCGCCGCCGATGTCTCAATATGCGAACCTGCCTTATCGTGAGGCCGCGCACAAATACTTGTAATGTTGTGCTGCGCGACGGATGGATGGGTCCTAGTACTGACGCCGGCCGTCGTCCATCCCGCGTGCTGCGCTCGAGAGCCCTAGCTGTCCATCCCGTACGTTGGTTCAGGTTATGATACACAGCGACCGGCAAAACGATCGTCACACACATCAGACTCGGACATACGCGCGCGGGCACCGCGGTCCGCGCGCGGCGCGCGCGTGAGCGTTCGCCGCGCCGCGCCCGGGGGCGCGGGCGCGCCCCGTGCGCGCGGCCTGCCGACCTCGCGCTCGGGATGGTGGTACGTGCCGCTCCGCTCACACACTGAGTGCACACACCGTTTCAGCTCACGCGACGACGAGAGATTAGCACTCTCGCCCCTGAGTGTCCGAGCCGCGGCTGCAAAGAAAGAGAGCTGTCGGGTGAGTGTGCGTGTCGCGTGTGCGGAAGTGCGTCGAGTAGCGGCGCCCCGCGTCCCTCGGCGCGCACTCACATGACGACCCACCGGTGGGGCAGCACCATCTCCGCGTGGACGACAAAGTACGAGTCGCCCTCGGCGAGGTTGTACGGGTTGGCCTGGGGGCGAGGCGGGCAGGGTGGGGGGGGGGGGGGGGGGGGAATGAAACCGCCAACCCCACCCAAAAATTGCCAAGGGAGGAGGCGGGCGGCAGGGAGGCGGGAGGGGAGGGGCGGGGGTGGCGCTGCGCGCGAGAGAGATGGGAGGGGCGAGAGAGATGGGAGGGGCGAGAGAGATGGGTGGGGCGAGAGAGATGGGAGGGGCGAGAGAGATGGGTGGGGCGAGAGAGATGGGAGGGGCGAGAGAGATGGGAGGGGCGAGAGAGATGGGTGGGGCGAGAGAGATGGGAGGGGCGGCGCCTCGGTCGAGCCTCGCCCGCCCTCGCCGGGGCCGACGGTGGTCGGGCCGTCCACCGCCACGACGCGGCCGACCACGCAGCGGAGGGCGGCGAGGGGAACCTCCTCCTCCTCGCACCACCGGCGGAGCGACTGCGTCGACTCGCGGGACAGCCAGTGCGTGGGCAGCCCCGACGGCAGCGCTGGCAGCATGAGCGCCCCAAACGAGACGCCAGCCGCCGGGGCGTGGCGCGGCGGCTGCGCCGCAAAGAGCAGCCGCGCGTTCGCGTCTGCCGAGAGGTATGAGAGGCGGCGGCCCGCGAGCGCGACCGCGGCGCGGTGCGCCTCCCTCTCCGTCGCCATCACGTGGCCGAGCCGTGCGTTTGCGTGCGCCGCCTGCCGCGCCGACGAGACGAGCCGCTCCGCCGCACCCTTTGCCGCCGCGTAGAGCTGCTCCGTCGCGGCTGTCGTCGGCAGCGCGAGCGGGGGGGCGGTCGGCGGCGACTTGCGGCTGCTGCGGGAGGGCGAGGGCTCGCCGCCGCCGCTCGCGCCGGCGGGCGAAGGCGCGGCGGGCGCGGGCGCGGGCGGGCTCGCGGCCGGCTCGGAGGGCGCGGCGGCCTCTTCGGAGGGGGCGGGGGGGGGCGCGGCGGAGGAGGGGACTCCGGCGGCGGGGGAGCGGCTTCCGGAAGCCGAGTCTGCGCGCGCCCCTTCGGAGGAGGATCGGCCCGGAGACGCGAGCGCGTGCTGCGACGCCTCCGATCCGCCTCCGCCTCCGCCTCCGCCTCCTCCTCCTCCCGACGAGTGGCGGCTGCTCACGCGGCCGGGCGGAGGGAGGCACGACATCGCCACCCGCACGGCGGAGGAGAGGGTGCAGTGCGCCTGCCACACCGCCTCGTGCGACGCCTCGAGCTCCTCGAGCTCGGAGGAGAGCACCCGCCGGCACGCCAGCTGCGCCGTCGGGGGGTCCTCCGCCACGCCGCCGCCGCTCACCGTGAGGGCGAGGGTCACCGGCGTGCCTCCGTCTGAGAGTTGCTCGCTCGCCTCCGCGTCCGAGGCGGCGGCGGCGGAGGCGGCATCGCCCGCCGCCGCCTCGCGGCTGCCCGCGGCGGCGGCGAGCGCGGAGCGCGCCTCTGCGAGCTGCTCCTCGAGCTTGGCTGCGCGGCGGCGCTCCGCAGAGAGCGACGCCTCCGCCTTGTCGCACCGCCGGCGAAGGGACGCGGCGACGCTCTCCTGCGCGGTGACGCGCCGCTGCAGCTGCGAGGCGGCGGCAATCGGCAGCCCCTCCATCGGAGTGCCGAGCGCCTCGAGCGCAGCGCCCAGCTCGGAGAGCTCGCCGCTGACGCCGCCGGTCAGGGCGCCGCCGCCGTCGCCGCCGTCCACGTCGAGGGCGGCGGCCGCGTAGGCGACGTCGCGCTCGCCGCTGACGTCCCTGTTGTAGAAGCGGCCGGACAGGTCGAGCGCCGCGAGCGGCGTCGACGCGAGCGCGGGGAAGGCGCCTTGCCCGTCGGCGCGGGCCCGCCTCCTCCGCCCGGCGCGGTTGAGAGCGGACTGCGCCGAGAGGGAGCGCTGGATCGGCAGGCGCCCCTCGTCGCGCGCGCGGCTCGCACCCTCGTCCGAGGTCGACCGCGCGATCCCCTCGGGCGCCGCCTCCGCAGCCGCCCCCTCCTCGCCGCCGCTGCCGGACGCGCGGGCCTCAGGCGAGGCTCCCTCGGCGCCGTCATCGGCGAGCGCCAGCTGCTGCGCCGCGAGAGCGCGAGCCGACGCCACGGCGGCGGCGGCGACCGACGCCACCGCAATCGAGCCGGCGGCGGGCTCGGGGCAGACTGCAGGAGGGCTGCGCTCGAGAGACGCGTCCGGCGAAGGCGCAGCGTCGGCGATCGCGCTTGTCGAGGGCCTGGGCGGGCTGGCCGTCCCCGGTGGCGGAGGCCCCACGGGAGGGATATCCGTCGGAGGGAGCCGCGCGAGCGAGGCGCCCGCGGGGGACGCCGCCGACCCGCCCGCTGCCCCTTGCGGCGCCGGCCCGGCCCCGAGGCTGCTGCTCGCTCCGCCGCACGCCGCCCCGGGCGAGACCGCCCCCTCCGCCTCCGCGCCGCCCTCGCCTTGCGCCGCTGGGACAGACGGCGGGTGGGCGTGGCCGGCGTCCGCCGCGGGCGCCTCCACAACGACCGCCTCGGAGCCAGCCAGTGCCTCGGAGCTGCCCGCGCGTACTCCGCTCGGCGCGGCGGCGGCGCTGCCTCCTTCCAACGGAGGGGCCGGCGGGGGCGTGGGGGAGGAGGAGGTTGCGGCGGACGCGAGGGAGGATACGAGGGGCACACTCTCCCGCACGCCGGCATGCCCCTGCGCGCACGCGGGAGGGCGTGTGAGGCGGGATCGAGGCGCGGGGGGGGCGCCTCTCCCTCTCGACGCGCGCCGTCGCAGAGGCGGAGCCGGCCGGCTGCTGCGAGGGGAAGAGCGCCGAGGCGGGCGGGCCGGCGCCGGCGGCGCGCTCCGCGCCGTGCGGCGCCTCCGCGTCTCGCGGCAGGTCGATGGCTTGCGAGAGGGCGAGGATGGTCGAGTCGGCGAAGTCGCCGTCCACGCCCGCGCCAGGCACCTCTCTCGAGTTGACCTCGATGTAGGCGGGCCGCGCGTGCAGCAGGGCGGAGAAGGCACGCAGGTTGCGAGGCAGCAGCGAGCCATGCTCGGACATGAAGGCGTCGCGCCGCGCTACCTCGCTCTCGCGCGCGGCGGCGAGCGCCTGGGGGCACCGCACACGCGCAGTGGGGGGGGGGGGGGGGGGTCCGGCGGTGGGAAACAGGCGGGGGAAGTGGGCGGGGCCCGGCGGGCGGCGCGGGCGGCGCGGGCGGCGCGGGCGGCGCGCCTCGGCCGACTCGCGGGCGGACGTGGCGTAGGCGTGGTTGAAATTTCGGCGGTGCGCCACCTCGCGCAAGCACGCCTCGTACGTGATGGGCAGCCGGCGCCTGCTCGCAAGGGTAGAGGGGCGTGAGCGGTGGCGCCCGTGGCCTCTGCAACCGACAGGTCCGTCCCGCGCATGAGCAGCAGCTGGTCGCAGTACACACGCACGCGGGCGAGGAGCGAGGTGTACAGGTGCAACTTGTTGCGCAGCTCGGCGATCTGCGACTGGAGCGCCGAGATCGCGCGCAGCCGCTGGAAGACCTTGGTGTGCATCGCCCCGCGCGTCGCCCCGGCCTCCTCCTGCGCCCCGCGCAGCGACGCGTCCAGCGATCGCATCTGCGGCAGCAGCACCTGAAGGTGCCTCTCGTGCAGCGTCTCGAGCGCGGCGCACTCCTCGAGCAGCTTGGCCGCCGAGGGGCGAACCAGCGAGCCGCGAAGCGACGGCGTCGCGCTCCCGGCCGCCTCGCCGCCGCCTTCGCCGCCGACCCCCTCCTCGCCGCCCGCCGCAACGCCGGCAGCCGCCTCGCCGCCCGCCGCCGGGCGAGCGGGGGAGGGGGCACGGCCCGCGTCGGGCGGTGCGCCGCTCGCGCCGTCAGTGGCCCCGGCGGGCGTGGCCGGTCCCGCCGCAGCGAAGGAGCCGACCGCGGTGGAGGAGCCGGCCATGCTGCGCGAGGCTGGCGGGAGCGGGGACCCTGCGGGGAGAGGGGACCCGTCCGGCGCAACCTGCGTCTGCTCGTCGACGAGGCGGGAGACGCGAAGTGCGTCGCGGCTGAGCTCGGTGAGGACGGAGTCGCCTGTACAGTCACAGTGACGCGGTCTCATCATCACGTCGTCGCGGCGAGGCGCGGCGAGGACGGAGCCACCCTGCTGCAGCAGCGTGGAGGTGGTGCGCAGCCGCAGCTCCGCCGAGGAGGGCGGCGCGTGCGTCTCGGGCGCCTCCTCCTCGAGGGCGATCCCCGCCTGCAGCTCACGCCAGAGTCTCATCTTGTGACCCCCTCCTCCTGCTTTCATCGCCCCCTCGCCTGCAACTCGGACCACTGGAGCGCAAACCCATATCTCCCCCATATCTCCCCATATCTCCCCTCGCCTGCAACTCGGACCACTGGAGCGCAAACTGAGCCGCCTTGGCGGTGAGGTGGTCGGCGTTGTGCTGGCACTCGGAGAGCCACGAGCGGAGCCGCTCCTCGCCGCAGCAGTGCAGCAGGCTCACACCCGCCCCCCACCCCTCCAGCTCCGCGATCGCGTCGTCGAGCGGCGCGCCCCGCAGGGCGGCGAGGTCGGCGTCGAACGACGCGACGAGCTGCTGCTGCAGCGCCGTCGTCTCCTCATACGAGGCCTGGAACTGGGCGTAGCGCTCGCTCAGCTTGGAGGCGAAGCCGCGCAGGTTGAGCACCGCGCAGCCGAGCGCCATCCCCTGCAGCTCCCGTCCGTCCAGCGCCTCGCGCGCCGCGCGCAGCCGCGCCGCGCCGCTGTCGTGCAGCGCCTGCGCCTGCAGCCGGTGGAGCGCAAAGTGGCGCTCGTAGTCGACGAGCGCGCGGACGAGCGGAGAGGCTAGATCGGCCGGCCGGCGCGGCACCAGCTCCTCGGGCAGGCCCTCCGGGACGAGCGCCTCGGCCGGAGCCAGACCGGGCGGGTCGGGCAGCGGCGCGGAGCGGTTGAGCGAGCGGCGGTTGAAGAGGAAGACCGGGCGGGAGCGGGCGCCGCTTGAGGCCGGCAGGCCGTACTCGCCGAGCGAAGCGTCGTTCTCCAGCCGCTCCCCCTCGAGCAGCAGGATCTGGCAGCCGACGTCCAGGCCGGTTACCTCGGAGAGGACCGTCTTGAGACCGATGACAGAGTCGGCGGCGGCCACCTCGAGGGTGTGGCCGCAGCCCGTCTCGGCTTGAGCCACGAGTACTTCGCCGCCGTCCATGTGTGGAGCCTCGCTGGCTGGGTGGAACAATGTGCGGTGGTTGCCCCTCTTGGTGTCCTGGCTTTAGGCGGTCAGGGCGCGCCCAAAGAATTTTTGGCGGCCCACGCTAGCACCACACTCCTCTCTTTGCAAAATCCTGCAAAGGTGGGGACGTGTCTGTCCTCGACCCAGCCCTAGCTTGGGATGTCCGTTGTATTTATTTATTTATTTATTACACTCCTCTCCTTAAAATCCCTGTGTGGTGGCGGCGTGTCCTACCTATCCCTCGTTTGGGTTTTCTGTTTTCGTGCTCTTAATCTCTCGTGCCTCTTCCCGACGTTCCCTCGGCGGCCGATGCCACCGGCGTCAGACACTCTCTGACACACAGTTCATTTATTCGTCAGAGCGGACACTCGACACGGACACAGCCCACGTGCAGAGTGTGGGTGTGCTCCCCATTCAGGGCGGCGCGACAACCTGCAGCTGCCCCGAGAAAAAAGATAACGGCCGGGAGACAGCGCATTGTTTGTGAATCCCTGGGCGAGGGTGGTGCACACAGCAAAACTACGAGCAAGAGGTAACGATCGGACCTACGAGCTCGAGGGCTCGTACCGAGCCCCGTTACCCTGCTCGTGTTTTGCTGTGTGGTCCCTGTCAAGACTTCTCCTCCCCACACGCCTCTCAACTCTTTCCGTATGAGCGGCGCGGCGCGGGCTGCGCACCAGAGCGCTCCTCGCTGCTTGCAATGAGATCGCGCACCCGTGGGACTGCGCCGGTTTGCCTCGCCCAGAGCTCGTCCGTCTCGCGGGCCACGCGGCGAGCTGCTTCGACGCCGGCGTCGACGGGCTCGGCCATTGTCAATGCTCGCTGGCTGCTTCGATCAGTTTCGTCATGATCCGCGATCGCGATGCTCTCTTGAAGCTGCGTGTGCCGGAGGTGCGCCGGCGCCCGCCTACGGGGCGTGTGGCGAGCGAGACTCGCTCGTCAACCTCTGGCCTCAATGTCACACCCCTCTGTCTCGCGGTCGCGGAGAGGGTAGGGCCGCCTGCGCCAGCAGAGGAGGCCTGCCCAAAGGCCCACGCCCAGCAGCCCAGCAGCGACTCCTGTGGCGGCACCCGCCAAGCCGTACGACCAAATCTGCGCCGCCGGGCCCATTGCGCCTCGACCCGCCAGCTGCCAGAGCCGGAGCCTACAGCGGAGGAGACGGCACGGCGTCGAGACGAGAGGGCTCGAGGGGCTCTAGGGAGCCCACGCCCGGACGCAGACCCTTTGACGATGGCTTCAGAGGCGTCCAGCGGCGGCAGCTGCGGCGGCTCGTCTGGAGGGTGCCAAGGAGGGGACGGCAGCGGGGCGGGAAGGGCGGGAGGCGACCTATGCGGGAGCGGCGGTGGCGGCGACGGTGGCGGCGGCGGCGACGGTGGCGGCGGCGGCGACGGTGGCGGCGGCGGCACCGCCGCCGCCGGAGGTGGGTGACTCGGCGGCAGTGGAGGCGAGGTGGGAGGGGGCGACCGGGGCGTCGGGGGAGGCGAGGTGGGAGGGGGCGACCGGGGCGTCGGGGGAGGCGAGGCTGGCGAGGGCGGGGGAGGCGAGGGCCACGGAATGCCCGGGGGCGGGGGAGGAGCCGGTGGCGACAGTGGCGACGGGGGTGGTGGAGGAGGAGAAGGAGAGGGTGGCTGGGGCGAGGGGCTCGTGGGGAGAGGTGGCGGCGGCGGAGGGTACGGAGGGGAAGTGATGATGACGCAGCCAACATCGCCCGGCAGTCGGCATGGCGCGGCAATCAGCCTGATCCGCGGCGCACAGCAGACGTCGACCCAGGCTTGCGGCCACCCGCGAGGGCTGCAGCGGGTGCTGTCGCAGAGCACGCACTTCGAGCTGCAGCAGGCGCCGCCGTCGGCCGATGCGACGCCGCACGCGCACGAGTGCGCGAGGGGGGCTTGGCTGGCGGCGCACGTCTCGCGCGTGGCGGGCTGCTCTCCCGGCAGAGAGGCGAGCGCTTGCCGCGCACGGAGGATGCCGTCGAGCGGCGCGCTCGGCGGCAGGCGCGGCGGAGACGACGGCTGCGTCGGAGGGCTGGGAGGCTCGGGCGAGAGGGGCGGGGGCGATGGTGGGGCGGGCGGCGTCGGCGGCGTCGGAGGCGATTGAGGCGAGGGGGGCGAGGGGGGCGACGGCGGTGGAGGAGGTAGGAGCGGCTGCGGATCGAGTGGCGGTCGTGGCGGTGCTGGCGGCGGTGCTGGCGGCGACGGCGGGGCGCGACCGGGTGGGAAGGGCGGGAGTGGCGGCGGCGGACATGGGGTTGGGCTGCTGGAGACGAAGGGTGGCGGTGGTGGCCGGCGCAGCAGAGCCGAGCCTGGAGGGGGCGGTGGAGGAGCGGCAACGGCTTGGGCAACAGAGGCCTGAGGGTAGGTCGCCTGAGGGAGGGGGTTGTAGCGCGGCGGAGGCTGGACTGGAGGTCGAGGGCGCGGCGGCGGCGGCGGCAGCGGCGACGGCGGCAGCGGCGGTGGCGGCAGCGGCAGCGGCGGCAGCGGCGGCCACAGCGGGGGATGAAGAGGGGCTTGCGGAGGCGCGTGAGTCCGCACAGGCCACGGCAGCGTGGAGGAGCCCGGAAGGACGGCGGCGAGGCGCACGGTGGGAGGCGGCGGCGGTGGTCGTTCCGATGCACAGCACAGATCACCGCCGTAGCCCGCCCCGTTGTCAAAGCACGACCTCTGACAGAACTTCTGCATGGCCCACTCCGCATCCCACTTGCAGAGCTTGATGTACGCGTAGGGAAAACTGTGGCACGTTAAGGAGTTGGTCGCCATCCACTTGTTCCGCTCGTCCGCACACTCTGTGCACGGCAGCAGCGGCGGCAGCGGCGGCCACAGCGGGGGATGAAGAGGGGCTTGCGGAGGCGCGTGAGTCCGCACAGGCCACGGCAGCGTGGAGGAGCCCGGAAGGACGGCGGCGAGGCGCACGGTGGGAGGCGGCGGCGGTGGTCGTTCCGATGCACAGCACAGATCACCGCCGTAGCCCGCCCCGTTGTCAAAGCACGACCTCTGACAGAACTTCTGCATGGCCCACTCCGCATCCCACTTGCAGAGCTTGATGTACGCGTAGGGAAAACTGTGGCACGTTAAGGAGTTGGTCGCCATCCACTTGTTCCGCTCGTCCGCACACTCTGTGCACGGCAGCAGCGGCGGCAGTGACGGTGGTGGCGGCGTGGGGGGCGGCAAATTCGGCGGCGGCGACGGTGGCGGTGGTGGCGGCGTGGGTGGCGGCAAATTCGGCGGCGACGGTGGCGGTGGTGGCGGCGTGGGGGGCGGCAAATTCGGCGGCGGCGACGGTGGCGGCAGCAAATGTGGCGGACGGGGCCTCGCCTGGCCGGTGAGTCCCGTCGTGACGGGTCCCGGCAGCCACCACGGCGTTGCAGAGAGGGCGCTGGGTGGCGGCGGAGGCGGGATAGCCCACGGCAGCTGTGGAGGTGGCGGGCTCGACGGCGTTGGTGGGCCGGGAGCTTGCGCCAAGCCCGGGCCGAAGGACAGGCTCATTGACGATGGGCCGATGTAGCTGGAAGAAGAACCCGGCTTTAGGCGGCAAGACACTCCGCTCATAGGGAGGGTCCGGACGACGGGCGACTTGAAGAGCCTGCACTCCTTTTCCCAACCGACCGGGATGCTGAATCCGGTGGCGTGGCAGAAGCTGTCGGCCACGCACGCGTCCTGGCAACTGAGCTCGCTCAAGCCGAGAAGCAGGTCGTTGGCCGGCGTGTTTAGGGCAGCGTCCCGACACGCACCGTGCGCGTTGCCCGCGAGCGGCCAGAGTGTCGAGGACATGACACAACATGTACGTGTTAGGACGGTTTTTCCATGGCATTCCCCTTCCATGCGCCGTTCACACCTGTTATGAGAAGAAAATACTTCTGTGCCGCTGTGCGCTGCTCCGTGAGAGGTTGAGGTGCGAGCCCTGGAGGCCCTGGGGATGGGGGGAGAGTTCACAGATAGGTTGGTAAGATACAACGCTGGAGCAGAAGCTGCAAGTGAAGTCGCACGCGCAAAAGAGGCAAACAGGCAAAAAGGGCGATGTTGGCGACACAGTGCGCACGTCCCGCTACCTCGGTCGCTCGGTGCAGCGCATCATTGTGTCCACGCCGAGAGGGGGGAAGCATGTCTGTGTGTGAGAGCAACGGCGTTTTGCTTTGCACGCCGATTTCGCGCACAATCGGCGTTTTTGCTTTGCACGCCCGACGGGGGCTAAGCGAGGGTTTGTGTATGTGCTGGTGTACAGTGTCGTGTCCACTAGCTCCGAGTAGAGGGGGCGTCCTGCAGATAATGGGGAAACCCGGTACATGGAGCCAACCATCGGAGGCCCGTGTTTTTACTTTATGGCCTCTTCCCTGCGAACGCGCACCCCCCAGGGCTAGGGCTCTCTAGCCCGCAACCCGAGGCCAATCGTCCGGCCCGCTGGGTGCGCTTCTTAGCTCCACGGCCCTGGGCGTGCGGTTGATGACCGCACTCCAAGACCAAGTGCTCCAAAAGCCTCTCCCACACCACGATTCGAGCGAAAGAATTGTACAAGGAAATGCTCTCTCACAACACTAGGCACGGGACTGGCGCGCACTGGAAAGAATTTCGTTTAGTGATGATAGTGTGCTGCTCGCGAGGCCATCGACAGCAAAGGTCTCCACTCGCAAGCCGCTCATCGATCGGTTCCCTGCATAAGCGGCTCCTCGGTTCGCTGTGTTCCGCTCGGTCGTCCATCGCCGCCAGCCACCTTCGGGTCGCGTTGGTCGCCAGCTCTCCCAGCTCGTCGTTTGGTCACCGAGGAGTGCAGCGAAAGCCGCCTCAAACTCCAGGACGTGCCAGCCCACCGCTGGACGCGCATCCCTCCTTGTCCCACTAGGACTTGTCAAATTTGCCGAGGCGAGAGTACTCGACCGAATTTCCGGCGTGTTTCATATTTCTCATGCCCAGCCCGATCGATGCCGTTCATCCGGCTCGCTGGGTGCCCCTCCTTGCGCAGTGTCCCCCACTATATGTCGCCGTTATCGGGGCACGCTATCCTGTGCAGTCAGGGCAAGTGGGGGCGGGGGGCACTCCCACCTCTCCTGTGTACGGGTGGTGACTGTCCCTAGTCTCGGAGGGGGGCTTGAAGCTAAGAATATTTTATTTTTTCCGGCTCGCTGGGTGCGCTTGCTTAGGCCTTAGCCCCGGCCCTGCCTGGATGTGAGGTTGCTGACCGCACTCCAAGTGCTCCAAGCTGTGGCGCTGAGAGAGGTTCTCGAGGTTCTCGAGGTTGATATCCTTTCTTTGGCCGCGTTGGGTAGCGAGAGAGAGGGACACACACACACACACACACACACACACACACACACACACACAGAGAGAGAGAGAGAGAGAGAGAGAGAGAGAGAGAGAGAGAGAGAGAGAGAGAGAGAGAGAGAGAGAAGAGAGAGAGAGAGGGGGGGGGGAGGGAGAGGGGGGGGGGGTCCTTGTTCTTTTTGAGAGGACAGCGAGCTTTTCAGAATGCCTGAGATGATCGGGGATCAGGCAACGGGCGCGGCGGGACCCCCCCCCCCCCCACCCACCCACCCACAGTGGCAAACTTGCTTGTTATCTATCTAGCCTTTGGACGGACGGAAACGGCCCCCCCTCTCATGGCTGACCCTGGGCATGGCCTCTCTGGGGGTGAGCTGGGTCGGCCTCCTCCGGGTCTGCAATTCGCACGGCGGGTCCGCGTCCGGGCAAGCATCCGAGGCCCGCGGTTGTCCTGTCGCAGGGCGCGACCGACATGGAGATCTGCTGCCCACAGATCAGTGCTTTTGTCGACTATTGCTCGTGATCTGGTCCTCACGGGGTTGACCCGTCTCCTCCAGATCGAGACGGACTTCATGAACGGCCGAGCAATATTTCTTCGTTAAGATTATTAATTGATGCTTTTTGCACGGCTGAGCCCCCCCCCCCCCTCCCCCTCCCCCGCGCCCATTTCCTGCCCTCTCCCGCCACACACTCCGTCAGAGCCCTCTCCCCTCTTGCACAACAGAATTTTTGACAATTAACCAATGGAACTTACAACAATGGGCTTGCCCATCCCGGAGTGGTTCGACCCCACACAAATCCGGAGGGGTGACGGGATGCTGTCGTACGATGGTCTCAGGCCCAGAGAGAGATTTTTGTTCAGGCCCAGTGAGGTAGTGCATCTGACTATCCCGGATCCTGCTGAACAAGCTCCTCTTGTAGCTCGATCGGTCACACCGCCACCACCGCCGACGTCTCCCAGTGAGATGATGGAGAGGGGGGACGACACTGCTCGATCTACCCTCTGGGGTCCTCAGCAGCGTGCACCTCGATCCTGTACCGTGTTTGTTATGACCCCCCCCAATGAACACACCAGTGAGGGAGGGCGAGACGATAGGGGTCCCGTACCATGCGGAATCGACCCTATCAAGTGCTCAAGCGCTCAAGTGTTATCTATCTCCGCGAGTCTCGATCAAAACTGGCCGCTCAGACGCAAGCAAAGCGGAACGCGTCGAAACGATTGCGAGCCCGAGTGGTCGTTTCGTCCAAAGATGGCATCCGTGCAGGATCGACCAAAAGGGGGCGCGAGGAAGGTCGTGGTTGCCACGCTCGTCCAGACGGAGCTGGTCGAGTGGCGAGAGATCAACCCGAAGCAGTGTGCCGCTCTCCGCCTCGGTCCCTCTCGCACCGACCCTCGGACTGATTCTCGCGCCGCCACCCCCCTGTGCTGAAGGTATAAGCGCATCCTGAAGCGTCGCGTTGAGCGTGCCACGAACGAGCACATCCGACCGCACCTGCCTCGCCAGCCGGTGCGCCCGCTCACTCCCGCCTGCCTCTCCACTTACCCAACCGCCCGCGTCCAAAACACCGGCTCAATCTGGCACAATCTCACGCCTCGTCGCCCGCCCTCAGTATCTGCACGAGTCACGGCACCGGCACGCCGTCAACCGGCAGCGCGGCCAAAAGGGCCGATTCGCCAACCGCGCGCCCGCCGCGCCAGGCCGAGAGCAGCTCGAGGCGCTCGACTTTCTGAACGAGCAGCCTTACGAAAAGGAGGCGGTGGACGCCTCGTCGGGAGCATCGCGACCGGAATCGGCAGAACTCATGTGAGCCATACATCCTGGCCAGACTGACGGGCACAGGGCCGGCCTGTCCGCTCTCCTCCCTGAGAACGGGGGCGAGAGAGTGTTGAGTGAGCCAACGCACCCGCACTGTCACTCGGCATGCAGATATCCAGCCTCATCGGCCACTTGCAGTGGCCGAGACGATGCGACGCGCCGCGTAGCCGTGGCTGAGTGGACCTGTACATCTGTGTTGTGCCTCCTGTGTCGACGCAACTCGCGCGATGCTGCGGTTTTAGATCTCGCGGTGACCGGTGTGTCACAACGTCACACAAGTGTCACATAGTCGTCCAAGTGTGCGCACATCGCCGGCTTCGGGGCTTCGCCAACGGCCAAGCGTTTGCGCGGGCCGTGCACACACCGGAGTTTTGACTGTTTATGTATCAAGCCCAAAAGGGCATCTACAGATCTTGTTCTATGGTGGCTCGTACAAACACATAATCTCCGGAGATAGAGTGAACGTGAGAGAGGCGCGGACACTGCTTAAGAGCTTAACTCGCCGCGGGAAGACGCGAGGGAGTCCCACTCGTTCTCACGCCCAGATGGTTTGCACCCTATGACCTCGCCCGCTTGATGTTGTTCCGCGAGCGCCGGCAACCCCCAAACCACGCCGCCGTACCGAGCCGTAACAGGTGTACACGTATGTCACGGAGCAACGCGTGACGGAACGAGGGAACGTGCGAGCGCTGCGCGCGAGACAGACCACGTACGCATACAGAGCGGCATCTGACGAACACGCCTATCGAGAAGGAGACTGAGAGACAGCAAAATGCGACGTGCGAGAAAGGCGTACCGGCGAGAACGGAATGACTATTGGCCTGCAGGATCTGTGCTCACGGCACACGCCGTCAGCGCGTGTCCGCCGTGCGCCGGACTGGAGTGATCAGCGTCTAGGCTTGCCGTTCAGATCTCGCCGAGGATCCGGTCCCGATGCCTCGCCTCTTCCGCCTCGGAGATCTTGCCCCCCTCTTTTAGCTGTCTGAGAAAAGCCATTCGCTCCGAGATGCTCTCGCAGCGCGCGCTCTGGGCCTGGGGCGTCGAGGCTGGCCGCGCGTCGGAGGCCGTTGGAGCAGGCGGAGCCACGGGCTTGGCCCGCGGTTGCACGGTCTTTCGTGGGCGTTTGATCTTCACCTCGACGTCAGGCTCGGACACGGCGGCCACCTTGACGCGCGGGCGCTGGCCGTCAACAGGCTCTAGCCAGGCGAGCGGGTGCCACTGCTTCTCCGGTTCGTCGGCGCCGTCGGGGTCATACGTCACCTCGAAACGGCGGGTCTCGGCGTTGAGGGCGGTGACCTCGCCTGTGTACCACGTTCCAGAACGCGGGCACCAGCAAACCGTAACTGAGTCGCCCACGCCGAGTGACGGTTTGCTACCTCCGCTCGACCTCCGACTCATGATGCCATTCATCAGGCCGTCGGACACCAGCGCGGTATGGTGGACGCTCACGCTACCAGCGCGGTAATGGTGGAGCTCACTCTCTCGTTCTGCTCACAAGTCTGGCGCTCACAGGCGAACGGTTTTTTGGCTTGTCCACCAATACCTCGCTGGTGTCAGTCCGAGCCTCAGTGTTCATTCGAGTTCTTCACCTCCTCGCCTACCTACCTACCGGCTTTTAGACTCCCCGTGCCGACGGGGTGGCTCCAAGACCAAGTGCTCCACTAACACTCACACACACGTAACGCACACACGCAAAACACAACTACGGGCCCAGATCACACACTCACACGTCGTTTGGATCCTGGAGCCCTGCTCACGTGTTTGGGTTGTCCACACAGTCGGGGGCCGCTCGCGACAGCCTCACAAATTCGCGCACTTGCTGCTTCTGCTCCTCCGTCTCGGGCGAGAGGAGCGTGGCGCCGACCCCCTGGTTGCGCAGCGAGCAGTAGACCTGCGTCCGGACGAGCGCCTCCTCCGCGCCGATGTTGTAGAGGTAGGCGAGCAGGCAGGCGCAGACCAGGCCGGCTCTACCCTTGCCTCCCCAGCAGTGGACGTAGAGCACCTCGCCAGTCCGAACGCGCCGAGCCAGCTCGTAGACGAGGCTGCGCAGTGCCGCGACGTCGTCCGCAGGATGCATGTCCCGTATTCCAAAGTGGGCGAACTTCAGTGGCGATTCAGGGGCGGCGGCTGCGGCGTCCGCCGCGTAGGGCTCCAGGCCGGGGAGCGGCTCAACAGCGACGCCGCCGAGCACCGTGCTGCCATCCTGCGGCGGGACTTCGGCCTGCAGGCACACAAAGGTGCCGCAGCCCTCTGAACGGATGGCGGTCAGCCGGGACAGCGTCGAGCCGCGGCCGCTGCCGGGGTGGCGACCTTGCATCACGAGGCCCGGGATGGCCCAGTGAGCAGTATCGGAGACAGAGTGCGTCGCCTGCAGCGCCTCAAGGTCTCGCAGATCAGGCAGCGGCGGAAGCGCGAAGGATGCGGCGAAAGACGTGGACATCGCAGCAAACATCGATCGATTGCACACAGCGCAGAACGCGCGACGTGTAACTCCCTGGGCCCTCGGTCCTTGCGCGTTCCTTTTCTTTTTATGGCTCCAACCAAGTCAGTGGGACTGTTGTGTTACAGTGGCCACAGACCCCCAAGCCCTATCCGGGTAGGGGCCCGAACCCTGGATGTGAGGCTTAATCACCACACTCCGGTGTGAACACTGCCGCCGTGTACGTCACCATCGCCTCTCTTCATCGCCGATCTCGCCGACGCCGCTCGCCGCTCGCCGCCGCCCTGCCTTGCCCTGCCCTGCCCTCGCACAAACAAACCAACACACACAATCACACATACAAACACACACACACACACAACTCCTTGCCCCCGCGCCCTCCCGCCCCACGCCCTGCGCCTCACGCCTCGCGTCCCACGCACGCCCCGCACCCCGCGCCCCCACACCCCTCACCTCGCGCCTCACGCCTCCCTCCCCACCCTCTCAGGCATTTCTCATCCCCGCTACTCGCCGACTCCTCCTCCCCCCGCATGACCGACGACTACCCGTCCTTCGGCGACTCCTCCCTCCTCGGCGCCAACGTCTACTACCGGGGGACCGTCGCCCTCGGGCGTACTGGAATGATCCCAGCGGCACACGTCTACGAGGGGGGGCTCCGAAAGGTCGGCATGCCTGGCATGTCGGGCGACTAGGCAGGTCATTGACCTCCTCCCCGCATGTCCGCATCGGGGGAGGGCGGCTCGTAACTGAGGTTCGCCGTCAGGGACAGTCGACCTCCCCTCAACCCGACGAGAGGGGGCCCACGGGTAAGAGACCGAACGGCCGGCCGGATTACTAGGACGCCGAGGCCCCGCACGGGGAAGAGTCCGAACGCCCGGCCGGGCAACTAGGTCATTGAGGCCCCGACCCTCTCTCCACCCGGCCATTCCAACGGCCAGGCCGCTCGCTTAAGGCTGATTGGCTAGACGAGCGGCCTACCTCCAACGGGGCGGTCCGGAAACCGTGGAACCTGCCCGCCAACCTGTCTTTAAGGTTGCTCCCGGCCCAGTGGGGATTTTGGCCTACTCAGTGATCGTCTAAGGGGCCCTAAATGGCCTGCAATGCCATATCTTTTGTGCCTAGCTTGTAGAGCACCTTAAAAAAGTACTATGTCTTGCAGTGAAAAGTTTTTCGATGACGCGGGGGTCCGTGGTGAGCAGATTCCCAGATTCTCCAGATTCCCCCTCGAAAACCGCCCCTTTTAATTCATTGCGGCCGCGGGCCAGCTCGGATTACTTTTCACTGCATGACATAGTAGTTTTTTGGTGTTACGGTGCCTACAAAAAATATCCGAGATCATATGGAGCTGACCACAGGGTTTGCGGCGATCACTGTCCTACCAGCGGACACAGTGGGCCGCGGACACCCGTCCGTGAATGACCTTAAGGTCCGACCTGTGAGCTCTGCCTGCGCTCGGCACCGGGCACCGCCTCGGTATACAAAACGCGCCTGCGGGCGGACCCTCACGGATCACGCTTCACGGATCACACTCGGTGTGACACTCCAAGTGTGCTCCAAGAGCCAAGAAAAAGTACGAGTGGCATTTTGCGAGACATACGGAGTCGGACGCTCTCGCACTCCCCATCTCCAAAGCTCCAAGAGCGTCGGCAAGGAGCAGAAAAAAAGAGTAATTACTGTAACCGGGCTGAAACTAAGATGACGCGGTGGAGCACTTGGAGCACTTGGAGTGCAGTCGGTAACCTCACATCCAGGGCCGGTGAGCTGAGAAGCGCATCCAGCGGGCCGGATGATCGGGATCGGGCTACGGGCTAGAGAGCCCTGACCCCTAGCTAGGTGGGCCCTCTCGCCATGAATGCGTGAAAGGTGAATGGTCCTGTCGTCGCTGTCTGTCCGTTTCTCGAGATCTGTGTCTCTCGACTGTGTCTGGCGTTACGGTTTATGGGAGATATCAGATATGCTGCACTGCGAGAATCGCCTCTATTTCCGGGGACAGATATTTGGGTCTCGATATCTCCCCTTATAAGTTTCTCGTGTCGATAATGGCCGACGCATTCATTGCATTGTTGAATCGTCAGTGGCAGAAAGGCGGGCCCTCCAACTCGCTGGCTGAGTCGGGCCTAGAGGGAGCGGACCCTGAGTTGAGGAAATCGGGGGACGCGACCCACTTCGCCACAGACGGTCCCGCGCCTCGCCGCTATGACGGCCACACGACCGCAGCTCGTGTGCGTGTGGCCGTCTTTGTCCGGAGTGAATACTCCAACGCGCTCGTCGGTGACGGCGTCCCCCGATTTCGCCGCGCTCGGCGAACCTCGACAGCGCTTTCGGTGGCATGCAGCTCTTTGCGCCTGAAGCCTGGAGAGCAGCTCCTCTGCTGCTCATACGCTCTGCACAGTTGGCACAGCCTACTGTGCGGCTGCCACAGCTGTGACAGCGATGGGCTCGCCCTCACTGGCCCTCAGTCACTCGTGCTGCGGCTTGTGTGAGCGACACTGCTCGGCGACTGCCGGCACACTGTGAGACCATGGGTGTGAGGTAAAACCACGCTACCAGCGCTTGGTCACATCAGCCCTGAGGTCATATCCTTCTCCTCTGTTGATGGTAACACTTGTCTACTCGCTGGAGCCGAGCAGGAGGGCTTGGCGCACAACCCCTGTTCAACTCAGGGTCCGCACCCCGTACTTGTGCATGTGTTTGATGGCCCATGGCATCGACATGGAAGGCTTCATAGACAGAAGACACGCGCAGTCGCTTGCCGCCATCCGGGAGCGAGCTCTTGGTGGCTGGGGTTGTGATTTTCGTGAATAGTCCTCCTACCTTTCTAGCGCTGCTGCGCGAGGGCGGCGATCAGTGCCACCGCCCGCCGCTGTGCTTCGCGCACGACCGCCGCCTCAAACGCCGCCTCCGCCTCCTCGCCCTGCGGCGTGTAGCTGCACGGCGGCGCGGGCTCCGCCAAGTCGAAGGGCAGCGCGCCGGGGGCGGCGGCGCCGTGGGAGAGGCCCAGCAAGCGCCCGCCCGCCCGCCCGCCCTGGGCGGCAACCTCGTCAGCGTGGCTGGAGAGGAGTCGCGAGCCGACGAAGCAAGTGATCAGCACGCCCACGATGTCCATGACCACCTTTGAGCTTTGTGGATGAGGAGTTCAAACAAGGGGGGGAGGGGAGAGGGAGGGAAGGACCCGCGGACCTGGATGGTTGCTCCCGCGTGCGCCGGGTCGAGCCGCACGAGGTAGAGCCCCATCGGCAGCGCGGCGCCGACGACGACGGCGATCGCGACGATGCAAAAGGCCTATCCTCGGAGTGCTGCGGGACGCGGGTCGGGGGTCGGTGCGGGAGAAGCGGACCCGCGAGCCGGGCTAGAGGGGCGGGCCGAGGTTGCGACTGTGGCGGACTCGAGGTGGGCGTGCGGCGCGTCGTCGGGCAGGAAGTAGTCGACGCGCCTGCGGGACGGGGCGTGGACATTGTCGCGGAACGGGTCTCGACGGGCGGGGACAGCGAGCCATGGGGGGGGTAGGGAAGGGGTGGGGTGGGGTGGGAGGGGAGGAGGGAAGGGGTGGGGTGGGGTGGGGGGTGGGGGGCGGCGGACGAGGCGCGACACGCGCCAGTAGCTCAGCGCCGCGAGGAGTGCGGCGATGCAGAGCCCGACGCGCAGCTCGGAGAGGAGGAGGCTGCCCATCGAGGCGCGGCGCGTTGCGCCGGTGGCGAGGCCGCGGATGACGAGGACGGCCGCCTGGACAGGCCGTGGACGTGTCACTCATGGACGTGTCATGGACTTGGTCGGCCACGCTCTACGAGAAGTGCGGCCGCCTGGTTGCCCGCGTTGCCGCCCGCGCCGACGAGCATGGTAAGGAAGGCGATGAGGGTCGGGTGGCGGTCGAGGAGCGACTCGTACCGGCGGAGGACGACGGAGGAGGCGGACTGGAAGAGGAGCAGCGCCTGCCGATGCCGAGGCAGGCGAGCGAGGCAGGCTCAGCAGAGGCAGAGGCTAGGGGCCAGGTGTGCGCTGTAGGGGTCAGGCGCGGGTGCAAATGGCGAGGAGCGGTTAGGGACCGGGGAGGGTGTGAGCGAGAGGGGTTAGCTGGGGGAAGAGGGGGCGCACACACCACGAGCAGCAGGGCGCGCCCCTTCAGCTGGGCAAAGAGATCTCGCAGCCACGTGCCGGGCCAGGCGCGTGGGGCGTCCCCGCCCTCCTTCGCCATCAGAGGAGGCATCCACGTCGGAGCGCGCCGAATGGGCGGGGCGCCATCAAGCTGCCCGCCCTCCGGCGGCTCCATGGGCTGCTGGCGCTGCTCGCCGTCCGCCGCGGCCTCGTCGACAGCGTGTGGCTGCTCGCCGAAGCGCTCAAACGAGGTGGGCGAGCGCGCAAAGAGGCGCCAGCCGCCCCACCGTCCACGCGCGGCCTCGCGCCGCCGCTGCTCGTGCTCGGCGCGGCCCGCGTCGTTTGACCCGTCGTCCTGTCCGGCGCTGCGATCGGACAAGGCCAGCTCCGCCGTGATCGTGTCAACGAGGACAACCTCGACGTCCATCTGCCTCTCCACCTCGATCGCGTCCACAAGAGAGGCCACAGAATGCGATCGCGAGACGGGCGCCGACTCAGCGTCCTCGGCGAGCACTGCCTCGAGCGCGGTCTCAGCCTTCGCGAGCCAGCCCGGCGTCGCACTGCCGGCCGGCGGAAAACCGACGCCGTCAGTCAGTGCCGGCGGAAAACCGACACCATTTGCCGGCGCTGCCTTTTTGGAGTCGCTCTTACGCCGGCGACCGGCGCGCGGAGGCATCGGGCTTTGTATTTCAAAGTCGTACTCGTTGACCTCCTTCCCTTTCTCATCAAGCTGGCGCGAGAGCTGCTCGACCCTCCTCCTGTCGTCGTCATTGCGGCGGCGCACTGCGAGGCACGCCTCGACGCCGACCGGCAACGACCCTACCTCCACATCATCCATATCATCGTCGAGCGCTTTGGTGGTCGTTATCGGCGTGTTCGCCGATGGCTTGAAGTGGAGCGCCGCCTCCATATACACCGTGTCGCGTGTGTCTCTGCGCCTGAAGACCGACTCTCCCTCGCCGCCGACGCCGGGGCGTGCCTTGCTGACAGCGTTTCGGTGAAAAGAATTCAAATTCGAGTTTTTCTTAGGTTTGCTTCGTAAGCTGGGGCCTGGACGCCCCAGCCGGGGCAGGGTACCCTTTTAATTAAGCCTAGTGGGTACCCTAGGCCGCAGCGAAACCAGCGGAAACCGTCTCCCAGACCCATCACACCGCGCCGTCCTCATCGCACCCACCCCCGCCTCAGCGCTTCACCCACGCGAATTTCTTCCGCGCGCCCGCCTGGCCCGGCTTCTTCCTCTCGCGCTGCCGCCGGTCGCGAGTCAAGAAGCCGGCCGACTTTAGTGTCGGCCGCAGGTCAAAGTTGAGGCCCTGCAACGCGGTGGCGATGCCGAGCCGGAGCGCCTCCGCCTGGCCGGAGCGGCCGCCGCCCCGGACGGTCGACATCACCGAGTAGAGGCCCGCGGTCTGCGTCTTGAAGAATGGCGACAGCGCCGCGTACCGCAGGTCCCAGTGCCCGCCGAAGAACTGCGAGACGGACTGGCCGTTGACCGTCACCTGCGGCGCATCCGGGTCCTCCGACTCCCACACCCACACACGCGCGACCGCGCGCTTGCGCCGGCCAACGGCGTGCGCGCGGCCGAGGTGGTCGACTGAGACGTACTTGCGAGAGGTGTCGCCGGCCGGCCGCTCGGACGGAGACGGGCCGCGCACCGCGCCCGCGATGCGCAGCGTGCCCTGCACCCCGTCGCCGGCGCCCGCCGCCCGCCCGGCGAGGGTGGAGCACACGCGCCGCAGCGAGCGGGAGGCTCCCGACAGCATGAGCGAAAAGCCCGAAAAAGAATTTACCCCCGTGTGAAGTGTTGGGCGCGCCACCAAAGAGTCCATACAGACATGGGTGCGAAACAACGACAAGACCAAGGCACGGGCAGAGGAACGAGAGAAGAATATAGGGTGGATAAAGCGCCTGTTCACGGCATGGAGGGTGAGCCACACCGAACGTACAAAATCTCTCTCTCCGAACGTACCGAGCGAAGAGCCGAGCGGAAGGAGGACGGGGAAGATGACTCCGAGGAGGACGAACCAGTGGAAATCCAGTTGTCAGATGTCACGATGCATCCGAAGGGGACCCCAGCGCCGGCATCATCCGTAAGAGGCACGATGTTCGAAGAGAGAGTGGACCTGAGCAACAACATGACCTGTAGGCAAATGATCGGAGTGGGAGTCAGAAATGTGGTCCTTGCGCGAGGGGAGCTCGATAGACTCGAGGGGCCAGGATACGCCGCGAGGAGGACGGAGTTGCGCCGAAAGGCGAAAGAAGCCGCGAGAACAAGGGACCGGCAGGCGGCGGCGTCACAGGACGAGGCAGAAGAGAACGACGCGACAGAGGAGGAAATGACACGGGAGAGAACGACGAGAGTGGGACGACCGCGAGGTGGCATGAAGGTTGCAGCGAGAAGCGGCGAGAGACTGCGAAGAGAGATAGGAAGAGGCAGACTCCCTAGGGTGGGCGACGGCTAGCGCACCACACACCTCTCCTTAAAATCCCTGTGTGGTGGCGGCGTGCCGTCCTTCCATCCCTCCCTTGGGTTGTCTGTTTTCTTTCTTTCTTTTTTAAGAGCCTAGGTAGGTGCGGATCGGCAAGAGCGCAACGCGTCGATCTTTTTGCCCTCTATCACCTTGGGTTGTAAGAACTTGAAACACACCACGCAGGGGCACAGCAAGCACGGATAGCCGTTGAGGAGAAAGGGTGTAGCGTGTTCATATGCGCAGCCACGGCCGCCCGCGCGGCGGTGGGCGCGCCACCTCCCGCGAGCGCGGCGGGACCGGAATCGCGGCCGGAGGGAAGGACGAGCCGCCGCCGCCGCCGCCATACCATCAGCGACGACGACCGCGGCTCGCCCCAAACGCCAGGCGCTGGATCGGCAGTAGGGCTTGGGCGGCGCAGCGTAGGCCTCGAGCCACACGAGTCGCCGACACCCCCCCCTCATCGACGTGATGGCCGCTCTCACTGCCGGCCGATGCACCCTGCGAAGCCACCGCACCAGCGACACTGGCCGCGGCTCGCCGCCACGCGCCGGCTCGGAAGAGGGGCTATCGGCGGCGCAGCAGAGCGGCATGCGTCGTCATTCGAGCAGCACCAGCCCCCCTCTTCGACGGGACGGCCGCTCCCGGAGCCGGCCGGTGAGCGCCCGACCCACGCCCCCTCTCGCACCCCCCCGATCCCCCTGCGCGGCGCCCCCTCCACTGCGCGCCGGCTCGAGCGCCTATTGCCAAATCGCGACTTTCGAGCGCAGTGCGTGCGCCCCACACGTCACGCGAGCGCAGGAGAGTTTGCGGCAGAGCAGTACCGTGTACTAGCCGGAGGCATCGCGCCGAAACCCCCGCGCATTCCGCCCCTCAACAGAGGCTGCAGGAGGCAGATGGCCAATAGCGACGATCGTTACGAAATGTAGCCTTACCGGGAGCTCTCCAAGCTGTCTTGGGTGGTATGGCTTGGGCGTGACTTCTCGTCGCCCATCTCTCCTGGAGATGTCTACTCTATTTATTTATTTGAGGAAGACGAATACTCAACACTAATACCGACACGCATGCGAACAAGCTTCGAACGACGTCGGTGACAAGGCAGCTTCGGGACTGTAAGTCGTGTCTGGATGTGGCCGCATGGGGCGAAGTCTAGGGACAAGGCAGCGTCGGAGTAATGAACGGGGCAGGGAGCGAGGGGGTGCTGGCCTGCGAGACGCATAAGAGCCTTCGCGGAGCCTTAGGCGCACGGCGTGTCGGCGGTCGGGAGGGGCGCGTCCTCCGTCGTGTAATGTTCGCCGAGCAGGTTCGAGACGTACATGGCGTCGTACCCGGGCCTCCACGGCCCCTTGTCGAACGTGTTGCCGAGGCGCGATGCGGAGGGGAGCGAGCAGTCCTCCATCGTGGTCGTGTAGGTGTCGAAGGTCCGGCCTTGGAAGTTGTTGGGGTTGGCCGGGATCAGGCCCGTCACCTCGGTCAGACCGGCGGGGCAAGCCACAACCTCGACCCGCACGTCGCGGTTCCAGTGCAGGTCGTATGCAAAGGCGAACTTGCAGCTCTCGATGGCCTTGGTGGTCGTGTAGCTGCCCACGCCCTCAAAGGCGAGCGCGCACGCCGTCTCGGCGTCCTCGATGCAGATGCCGCCGCCCCCGTTGCATCCATTCCCCGGCGGCGCGCAGGCCTGCTTGCTGCCGCCGCTGGCGATGCACGCGGCGTAGGTCGCACCGCCGCGGATCCCGCCCTGCCACGTGACGACGCTGTCGAGCTGGGACCCCGCGTTCGAGTAGCCGATGCTCTGCAGGTGGCTGACAAAGTCGGTGTTGGCGGAGGTGGCGTACTTGGAGTAGAAGGGGACCGGAGGCACGGCGGTCTCGCTGCCCGCGGCGCTGCACCCGTTGTAGGCGCCCAGGCCGCCACCCGCCATGTAGACGTCCACCGCGCTCGCGGCCGTGTTGAAGATCTGCGCCTTGAGCTTCGGCGCGAGTGGGACGGCGGAGCTAGGGGCGAACTGGCTGGAACCGCTGCTGGGCGTCACCTCGATGCACGTGCCGAGCGGAAGCTTGTCGAAGGTGACGACGGCGTAGGCGCCATCGTACCCGTCGGCCGCGGCAGCGGCCACCATTTCGCTGCTGCCGAGCATCAAGGTCGGCGACATCCAGCCCGCGCCGCCAGGGCTGGCAGGGTTGATGCTGCTCGGGGAGAGGATGTCGGCACAGCTCTGCTTCTCCGACTCGGCGCAGTAGAGGCCCCGGACGTCGTCGTCGGCACCGCACATCAAGGCGGCGTCCGCCGGGCACGTGAATTTCTCGCCAAAGGCCTCGGCCTCGGTGGCCGAGCAGGCTTGCCAGCTCTTGTAGTAGAAGTTGGGCGCGGCGTTGGTCGAGGGCGGCGGGGAGGGACCCGTGGACGGGGAGGGCGACGGGGAGGGCGACGGGGAGGGCGAGGGCGCTGGCGAAGGAGACGGCGACGGCGAGGGCGAGGGTGACGGAGACGGCGTCGGCGTCCCAGGCGAGCAAGTGTCTCCCCAGGTGCAACCGCCAGCCGCGTTCAGGTCAGCGTGGCAGTGGTCTGCTGTGCACCAGGACCGGCCGAGGAGGTCGCAGCCGCACTGGGGATGGGCGCACACGGGGCAACCCGCCGGCCCGGGTGAGGGAGAAGGGGACGGCGACGGCGAGGGCGCAGGTGCCGGGGAGGGCGAGGGTGACGGGGAGGGCGACGGGGAGGGCGACGGGGAGGGCGAGGGCGCTGGCGAAGGAGACGGCGACGGCGAGGGCGAGGGTGACGGAGACGGCGTCGGCGTCCCAGGCGAGCAAGTGTCTCCCCAGGTGCAACCGCCAGCCGCGTTCAGGTCAGCGTGGCAGTGGTCTGCTGTGCACCAGGACCGGCCGAGGAGGTCGCAGCCGCACTGGGGATGGGCGCACACGGGGCAACCCGCCGGCCCGGGTGAGGGAGAAGGGGACGGCGACGGCGAGGGCGCAGGTGCCGGGGAGGGCGAGGGTGACGGGGAAGGCGACGGGGAGGGCGACGGGGAGGGCGAGGGCGAAGGAGACGGCGACGGCGAGGGCGAGGGTGACGGAGACGGCGTCGGCGTCCCAGGCGAGCAAGTGTCTCCCCAGGTGCAACCGCCAGCCGCGTTCAGGTCAGCGTGGCAGTGGTCTGCTGTGCACCAGGACCGGCCGAGGAGGTCGCAGCCGCACTGGGGATGGGCGCACACGGGGCAACCCGCCGGCCCGGGTGAGGGAGAAGGGGACGGCGACGGCGAGGGCGCAGGTGCCGGGGAGGGCGAGGGTGACGGGGAGGGCGACGGTGACGGAGACGAAGGAGACGGCGGTGTGGTCGTCCCGATCGGACCAAACCTGATGTTGCTGAACTTGACAAAGCTGTTTGGATAGTTCTCGCGCACGTACTCGGGCGTGCTCGTCTCGTCGCCGGGGCAAGGCCCGCGCAGGTTGGATGGCGGGTCGCCAAAGTCGGAGTCGAGCCACTTCATGTTGACCGTCTCGTCGTCCCAGAGCGACATGACGAGTACCATGCCCGTCTCGTGCGCGATGTCCATCGACTCCATCCCGCCCTTTTCCAAGAAGTTGGTGCCGTCGGCTGCCCACTCGGCGGCGGCATCGCAGAAGCCCTCCGTGATCGAGTCGTGCGGGGAGCCGACCTTTGTGACGGTCGGGTTCTGCACCACAACGCCGTCCTGCACGTAGAAGCGGCGGATCTCGGAGAGCGTGCCGTCGTCGGTGCCGTCGTCGGTGATGAACTGCGTGACGACGGTCATCTTCTTGGTGGTGTCGACGCGGAAGGAGGAGCCGGGCCCGTAGAAGGAGGTGTTGCCGTGCCGGTAGGGCTGAAAGTCGCAGCCATTCTTGTCGCACACGCCGTTGTACCGATTCTCGCCGTCGCCGCAGTCCACCTCGCCGTCGCAGCGGTAGTAGCGGTCGGTGTCGGGCTTCGTGGTGTCGCACGAGTGCGGAGTGTACGCCGTCGCGAAGGAGTTGGCCTCCCAGATGTCCATCTCGACGCAGCAGGCGCCGTAGCGGCCGCCGCTCTCGCCCGAGGTCCACCCCTCGCTGTTTGTCTCGCCGTGGATGTACTTGATGTCGTGTGGGCACTGCGCGTCGCAGTAGCCCGTGCCGAGGTTGGCACCCGCCGTGTTGGACGGAAAGGCGCCCAGGCCGCCGTCCTCGGGCATCTCGACAAAGTAGAGCGCGCCGTTCATCCCGCACTGGAGCGTGCTCACGTCGACGTCAAAGGTGAACTCTGCATTCTTGAGCTTGAACATGTAGTAGCTGTTGTCGTCGTTCATGAGATAGGTGCGGCTGCCGACGTTGGTGCCGTACTGGTGATCCGTCACGAACTTGAGCGAGAGCTCCGAGCCGGCGGCGGTGATGCCATACGTCGACTCGTACTCGGAGAGCGAGATGCCCTCGAGCTCGCAGTCGCGGGTGCACTCTGCCGGCGTGCCGCACTCAAAGTGGTCGTTGAAGCAGTTGGACGACCCGGTGCCATCGTGGTACCAGCGCCTGCGCACGGAAGGAGGCGAGTGGAGCGGGCAGGCGAGCGCTGGCGGTGGCGCTGGCGGTGGTGCAGTAGAGGGTGTCTGCAGTGCGGAGGGCTGTGGTGGCGCTGGCTCGGTGGCGCAGGCGCACAGCTGTGGCAGCGAGGGAGGTGAACGAGCGAGGGGTAATGGAGGGACTCCGCACCAGTTGGCGTCGAGCGTGATCGGCTTCGGCGAGGAGGTGCACGCTTGCTCGGTGCACTCGTAGAAGTCAATGGTGGGATGCTGCTCATTGACGAGCGTGCCAATCTTCTGCGCGACGGCGGTGGCCGAGAGGAGGAGTACGAATCGCATCGAGTTTGCTTGAGACAGCCGGAAGCGGCCAGCACCGAACAGGGAGGAAACAATGGGGGAAGGAGGGTGTTTGCCTTTTACGATATATCCGAGCGGTTAATGGTCTCGGCGGTTTACGTGTGGGTCATGAACATCCACGACTCCCTTGCGGACGTCCCGCGATCTCACTATTGGGATCAAACGGACTGGTCCTCGGTCCTCGATCGATCGACGTCTCGGACATCGACGCGGACTAAGGGAGGGACATCCAGACGGGCACGGACGGTGAAGGAGCTCGGCTGGTCTCTCCGCTCTCTCTCTCTCTCTCTCCGCAAGGCCTCCCGACCGCGTCGAATTCTCGACGCGGGCTCTCTCGCTCGGTCGGCTGGCTACGGGTGGAACCCCCCACCCAGCTTCGGCTGAGGGCTGACTGACAAGCTGCCGAGCCCAAGTCACTGTGAGAGTCGTGATTTTGTTCTTGGTTTTCAAAAATCGGGTCGCAAACCCTGACAACAAACAGAGGTCTCTCTCAAACCCTTTGTTGTGTCTGTCAGTCAGCAGTCCACCTTCCTTCGGGTGTTCGGGCATGTTCGTAAGAGCCACAAAATGCGTTTCTTGTGGTGTGTGTATTAGTGTGTGGAGAATAGGGCGTCCGAACTCCCGGGAAAATTTCGGAAATTTCTCGGCGTTTCGCGGCCCTATCCACTGCTTGCTCCACACCGAGCGCCATCGGTCCGGACCGGCGTGCCCAATGAGGGTCGGCCTGCACAAGGTCTGAGCCGCGGGCGCTCGGCGCCAAGCAAGTGCAGTGTCACGCTCGCACTGGAGCGGGTCACAATGGGAAACCCTCGTTTCCTATGTACCTCGGTCCCCCAACGGAAGAGGCCTCGCTCCTATTGGAACTGGCCAACATCAGATTTGCCGCGTGCGTCCCTTTTTGAGCCGGCAAGCTATTTTCTTTTGGGTCCTGTGGGCACCCTACCTCTCTCCTCTGACCTCTCGCTCATACACTCTCTCTCTACGTGCGAGACTGTTGTTGTTATGCGTTTGTTGTCGTGTGTGAATGTAGTGTGTGGAGGGTGGGGCACTGGCGCCCGAAGGAAAGAATTGAAAGAAAATTCGGGACATTTCGTCGTCGTTTCGCTGCCTGTCCACGAGGTGGCGTGTGATCCGACAGTCTGCAACCCAACTGCTCCTATGCTCTCCGCGCTCGGCGTGCTCGCGAGTCCGCCTTCGATCCACGCCTCGTACAGCACCGTGGTCAACGTCCACGTCAGCGATCTCATGCCCGTCTTCCTGAGCGACGAGCTCAACTTCGAGTGGGATTCGCGCCTCAGCTCGCAGGAGATGGTCTACTCGCACACGCACGGCACGCTCTCCTATCAGCAGAGGGCCATGCCCTTCCCGCTTGCGCCCCGTGACACCCTCCTCAAGTGCGGCGTGCGCGTCTTGCGGCGTCAGTCGCGCCTGACCTCCGAGTGCCGCTCGGTGAGGGACGATGTCGCGGTGCCGCCCCGGCCTGGCGCGGTGCGACTGCACTTGGAGCACACCACCTGGCGGATCGAGGCGCTCCCTGCGGTGAAGGGCGTGCCGCGCACTGCCCTCTCCCTCGACATCACCGTCCCGCCCGACGCGGCGCACGGCGTGCCCGCTGCGGTGGTGAGGCACGTGCAGAAGAAGTCGCTGCGCGACTCGGTCGACTCGCTGCTCGCGGCGTCGAAGCGGCTGCACCTTCCGCCGCATCGCGACTTCCTCTCCTGGCAGCGCACCCGCGAGGAGGCGCGCGCAGCAGAGCGGCGCAGCGGCCAGCAGGGCGGCGGAGAGTGGACCGAGTGGGGAGGCCTGCCCTCTGGCTCTCTCGCCGCGACCAGCCTTCTCGTGGTGGCGCACTGCACGGCGTTCGCGGTCCTCGCGATCGTCCACCCGCGGGGCTCGTGGCGCCGCAGTGTGCGTTTGGTAGCGAGTTTTGTGATGTGAGCCTCGAGCGTGCGCTCCCTCGTGTCTCGAGAGCGGCGACCCTGGCGGCGCCGGCGGTGTGGCGGGGGCTCGACAGTGTCAGTGACGATGGCGGTGTCGCGAGGCCTGCACTCGCCCAGCTAGCCCGTGAGTCTGTGGCGTCTGCAAGAGGTGCAAACGAAGAAAAAATACCCGACGCACGCTGTCCGCGGCGCGCGATTGCGTCGGTGGCGTCGAGGGCTCCTCAGGTTGACGCAGACTCGCAATGTTCGGCCTCATCGCCGCCGCCTACGCACTACTCTCCGACGCGGACGTTCGACGCGCTCAGCGGCGGCGGCCGGGGTCCCAGTTCGTCGCGTCGACTGTTCACGGCATGGGCCACGTGCTCAACCGTCACCTTCGTCGCATGAGCGAGAGGTTCGAAGAGTGCGACGCCTTCGATGCCGAGACGCTCTGGTCACTGCGCCGCAGGTTGGCTGAGCTGGCCGACCCGGAGCTCATCGCCATCTACCCTCACGGTGACGGCCGCAGTCCGCGGCGTGTCAACGGCACAGCCGCACAGCGACCGGCCGACGCCACGCTTCATGCCGTGCAGCGCGACGGCCTGTGCCACGAGGTCGTGCTAGCGCTGGTCCATCACCTCGCCGAAGAGACTCGCGCCAGCCTGCTCGCCTCCGGGGGCGGCTCGGCCCTTCCGCTGCTGCCGACGAGGCACCATGAGGAGCACCACGAGGAGCACCACGAGGAGGGCGGCGAGGAGGAGGGGACGGCGGCGGCGGCAGAGGGAGAGCGGTCGCGAGTCTTCTCCGAGTACCGCTCGCAGGTGTCGTGCCAGCAGTGCCATACCGGCGCCGTCGCCGCTGCCTGGCGCGACGCGACTCTTCCGCCTCCGCTGCCGGTCGACCCCGTCCAGCCCGGCCGCGAGAGGCTCCGCTCTTGCGACTACCAGGCCATCACGCCCAACACGATGGACGATAAGGAAGACTCATTACCCGTGCGACTGCCAGGCCGAGTGTACACCCGAGCCCGCGCCCGCACCCACCCACTCTACCCCCGCCTCCCCACACTCTCACCCCAGTCTCGACCTCCGGCTGCCAGGCGG